CTCTGGTTATGTCTCATCCTCAGTCTCCGGACCTTCTGGAGAATTGTCAGATGCACTAGGCAAAGCGGAAGTAGTTTCAGTGAGTCTTGATGAAGTTCGCGAGCAGATGAATGAAGCATGGGCAGCACATACATGCGACATCTCATTTTGCAGGGGATTATTGTAACTCTGGAAAAAGCACGCCAAGCACAACATGCATGCTCAGTCTCATTCAGCCTCGGGATGGGATGAGATGGTGTTCTCATGTGTTCCTGCATGTTCCACTTCCCCACTGTGCCCGAAGTGCTCCTAGGAACAAGCCAAGTGGCGCTCGAATGGCCAGAGCTGCGAGTGGCCAACGCCCCCACGCTGGACGCCAGTCGTGGCAAGAGCCGCGTGGGGCACTTTGGGCAGGTGAGTGCCCCTGCTTGCTGTGGTCGTTGGCGAACTGGGCGAGTGTGGATGAGCGGGCACTCGGGCAGATACTCTGAAACATTGGCTGCTGTTTTGAAGGAGTTTCTACTTGCAGGGGGTGTGGGTTTGAGTAGGCCCACCCCATCGAGCCTGGTTCTTGCGCCAGGATTCGCATCAGACCATGGCGTGCTTGCAGATGATGCCTTCAGGCTCGCCCAAAAGCATCCAATTGCAAATCTCGAACTGGAGCTCCCAACAGCTAGCATGAGTCCCTTTGCATGCGTTTGGCTGCCCAGATGCAAAGATGCATGCCTTTTGCTTTGCCTTCAAACATATGGAGGTACTTCTGTGTCTTGGAATCTGACACCTCTACTATATCGGTGTAGAGATTCATTCCGAAAGCAGAACATACACACGCCTTTCAACAAGGACGGTGTCAGAACCCAAAGATGCCTTGTTGGGTTGGAATCTGCCCCTTTGCAACTTTTTTCAGGAACGGCCATGTCACAGTGCGAATTTGTGTCAGGACGTGAACACGTGACTGTGAGTCCGCGGGGAGCATCACCAGGGAGGTGCCTGAGGGCAGCATCAGTGTGTGGACTGGTGTGTTTGTGGAAGGTCTACTTCACTCGAACGCGCAGGATTGGCGTTTTGAGTTTCTGACATGGGTGGCACACAGACCGGAGGACTTGCCATGTGACATGGTGGCAACCCCAGGATCATGGATTGGTGAGAGATGGGCAGAGTGTGAAATACATCCACTGCCTCAAATCAGGTGGGAGGGGCGGATTTCTTTCTTCCAGAGCAAGCCGAGCAATCCCTTTTCCGTTGGTGCCAGGAGCATTAGTCCAACCAACGACAGTCGTCGCCTTGGTCATTACTGGACTGGGCCCATGGATCTTGTGGGCCTTGACTGGGAGCATGAGAAGCCACAGCCATCCCGGGTTTGAACAGAAGACAGTAGACAATCCAAAGTTTTCTGTAGTTTCATCATCCAACACCAAGCAATTACAGTCATGAGAAGACATCCCATATGGCCATAGGGCGAATGTTCACCACGTTGGGCCTCAGAACTCACCACAGCTACAGTCACAAGGAGATGTGTCTTCCTTGTTGATGATGAATTACAATGAACTGCCTGGTCATGTGATACGTGTGATGTGTATGTGGTTTCTATGTTTCCGCCCACCCGGTTGAGGTTGGGTGGGCTGGTCCAAGGAGGAGGGGCAGGCGCGTGAAGCGCGTCCGCACATAGACCCAGCAAACTTCGTGCCCCCGCCCATTTTGGACTGCGTGTGTGGTGCAGGGTGCACTGGCTTCCGTGCAGGGTAACACTACCTGCATCTGCAATCTACAACGATTTTTTCATTTGCTTCGAATACTTTTGTACAGCTTTCCGGCGTGCTCTTGCTTTGACCTCTTGCTTAGGTGCAGTCAAACCGCTGGGGCTGTTGGGCACCGGTCCGTCCATGAGCGGATTTCGACAGGCCAGCGTGAAGGAACAAGCGGAGCTGCTGAGCCAAGAGGAGGTGCTCGAAAGATTCTGGGTGAGGAAAAACACTTTAGAATGCTTACTTTAGAGGATTTTGAGCTTTTTTGTGTGAGTCTCTTTTGCTTGGCCATCAATGGCCAAGTGCTTAATGCGGGATGGAGTGACCCTCACTAAACATATGTAAACATGTAAAAGCAAACGCATCACCATTCACCATGCATACATATTAAATATCGATATATTGTATCATTTCCTGCAAGCATGCTCCTTCTGGGACTAGAAGCATCAAATTTGGCATGACTGCTGGCGACATCTGGCATCTGAAGCTTTCAGGGTCTCGGGGTCTGGGGGTCGCTCATTTTTTTGGGGAAGTGACTAGTTACAAAGACGTGGGTTCAAAGCCTGATCGACCCTGCAACCGAAACCATTCGGTGTTGCCCGGAGAAAGGTGGCTTCCTGCATGAAATCTGACTAGGGAGCCCTTACTGACCTTGGCACCGGAACTTTTGAGCTGATGGGATTTTTGATGGGTGCAAATAGCAACCCCTTAGTTTGACTGGGGATTTCATGCCAGTCCCCAATATCACAAGCAGCCTCAAAGAGAGAGAGAGAGAGAGAGAGAGAGATAGAGAGAGAGAGCGAGAGAGAGACATAGAGATAGAGATAGATAGATACAGTGATGGTAGAATCTTGTTGAGCATGGACAGCATTCCTATGATTTTCTTCCAAACAAGCGACCGGTGTTCGTCTTACACCTGGCTTGATCCCTGGCGAACTGCTCCACAGGTCCGTGCTGGCATGGTGCGCCGCGCCGGCCGCCGTCCGCCTGGGCTTGTTTGGTTTCAGCGGATGAGGTGGAAAGAAGACCACCCGGCGCAAGCTCCAGACACCACTTCAGCTGCTCCCTTTCAGCTTGGAAAGGAGGCTGCGCATGTGGGTGACTGGTGTGGCCAACGGATCCAAACACACCCATCGATGCGTTTTCCACCGAACACTCGGTGACACATCTGAACTTGCTGAGCTGGGACCGGTTGCGCGTGGCGTGGCCGTAATGTTTTTCAAAAGCGAACACAAAGAGGAAAAGAGAAGGAAAGGATATTCCTTGAATAATGCTTAATAGCTTCTTGTTTCTAATAGCGAACATTGTTACTACTAGTAAGGCACTTGTTACTACTAGCGATGCACTTGTTTCTAAAGCAACTTGAGCACCAACTTCTGTTTCCTTTTTGTTTTCCCCACACGTGGACAGCAACCGGACCCTTTCCTAAGTTTAGGCGCCACCGGTCGCCAGGTCTTCGGCCCACCTCCCCGAACAACGCCTTGAGGTGGGCGAATGGGAGGACAGGACAGTTGGTCCAAAACGAGGACAGGTGAGTTTGTGATGTTCTTCGGTGCGTGAATCCATCCGAATTCATGTGTTTGGTTGGTGAATTCTGCTTGGCAGATGGGAATGTGCGATGAACGAGGTTATATGTAAAATAGCGGTTATATTTGTGGCCCCACATAGACAAAACTACAAAGGATCAACTTTGCTTTATTTCGGGGGACATCCTTCTATCTGTGTGACGATGAGCTAGTCACCCTTTGAATTCACCTCTTGCTATAGGTCAGTCTTTTGGGTCCCGAGCTCTCTGTGGATCAAGCAGCTGACCATTTTGTGGATCTCGATTTGTTTCCAAGAACTTAAGTTACTTAAGTTGTCCGTTTTTCCTTTCAAACCTTCTTTGTCCACCTCACATCACCCAACTAACATCAACTAACTACAAGCGACTGCAAGACTGCTCTGGTGGAAAGCAGTGGAGAACTTCTCTTCCCAACTGCCCCTGTGCGACCGTCGGCCTCTCACCTGGACCGGTCCCCGCTGTTTCCTCCCCCCATGACCGGCATCCGGCAGGGCGAACGCAGACCCATTCAGCTCGGTGAGACATGTGACTTGGTGATGGGGAGAGGTGATGGGATGGGAAGAGGAGTCAGCATCCATAGGATGGGATGGGTGAGGAGTCCACGTCTCGATGGCTTGAAGAGTTGGGTGTTTGTCTTAAACAGAGCGAAGCATGGCGAAGCCACTTCTAAGGCATGCCTTTGGTTCATGCGGTTTGACGTTCGTGTTGCACCCGCGTTCTTTTCATTTGGGGTCCAAACTTGGCAACAGCAGCGTCTCAGGATTTGGGATCTGTTTGCAACACTGAATGTACTGAGGATGACTTGCGGATTGAGAAACACCTGCCCTGCCGCGGGAAGAAGGTCGGTGTTTGGCACCCCAGACACCGTGGGGTTGGGCTTGGAGATTTGATGCAGGCACCACGTACGAATCCTGGAGCCTCAACATTCAGGTCAAAGCATGTCAAAGCAACAATGGTCAATCAAAGCGGCCGCCTGGGTGATTCTCAATTGAACTAGCACAGTAGAGTGGTGTCAGTTGAAGAAGGTTGAAAGTCAGTGATTTTGTTGAATTCTGCGGCTGAGAGCAGTGACAACAATGTGAACAGCAAATCTGAGGGACAGTTGGATGCAGGTGGACTGGGACTAGGCCAGATTGGTGCGATTTGGGTGAGGCTCTCCAGAATGGCTCTCAATTAGGCCGCAGTTTCGTTTTTCATCATTATCATTTTGCAGGCAACATGCCTTTCTGTCTCAGTGGTGATATCTCCTCAATACACACTGCTAGAGACACCACAGGTGTGCCTGTTTCGGCCTTTTTGGTGGTCCGTGCCACAAAACCCGTGGAGATTGGTGGAAGATTCTTGAACTGATACACTCCGTACATGACCGCTGTCGCTTCATACGACAAGTTATGTTGCCCCAGACCGGTTTGGGCCGGACATATTGTCATCGAGTACGGATCATCGTCGGACCGTGTGACCTACGGTGCTCCATGTGAGCACCCTCCAGGTTCGCGTTTGGTTGCTCCTCTTGCAGCTCTGGCTCAGACCTTTGACGTTCTTGTTTCTCAAGCTAAGCAGATGAACATGACTCAACACGGTTGCTCATTGCGGGATTGGGGCATGCCAAACATACCTTTTGTTACACTCTTTCTTTTCATGACATGATTGATCGTTATGCAGTTCACAGGTTGGACTTTACCTATATGTTTCTATCACACTAAGCTGGGTAAGTTGACCTGGACTCTTCATCCGAGACATGTCAATGCAATCCTTCATTTGTGGTGCCGTGCTGTCTCCAAGCGTGCCTGTGACATCGCAGGCGGGAGGGGGGTCTGTCAACTTCGCATCATGTCAGTTCTGTTGCAGCAAAAAGGCTGTACATGGACATGTCTAGGGCGTGTCCCATTACCAGTAGTCGGCAAACAGAGGATCACTCATTTTGAGAAAGGCCTGCAACCAGGCCCCTTCACCCACTGGGCCTTGGTAATATTTGGTAACGGCATCTACCCAAGGCATGTCGTTTTTTCTTTCTAGTAGTAACAGGTGCCTTACTAGTAGTAACAAGTGCATCGCTAGTAGTAACAGGTGCCTCGCTACTAGGAGCAAGTGCCTTACTAGTAGTAACTCGGCTGGACTCGCTGGCGCCCGAGGCTTCACGCTTCGGGCAGCGCGAGACGCGATCTCTCTCTCGGCGGAGGAAGCAGCAAACGACTTGGGGAGCGAGCGACACGGAAGATGGGTAGGAGGTGGGTAGAGGTAGATGTATCAACTAGATGAGTAGGATGTGTATGCCAGTTTTCACCCCCCTGGAAGAAGTGAACTAGACTAGACCAGTCCAACCATTGGGCCAGGAATTCTCCCTATTATATAAATTAAATCGACACACACACCCCCATGTATCTTTTCTGAATAATGGAGAAGGGCTTTCATTTTGAGGGGTGCATCTACTGGTAACAAGGGCATTACCACGAGTAGCACAGTTCCCTTTGTGTTGTTTTCTAATTATACCCTTCACCCCGTCACCGCACTTCACCAAGCTGAAGCCCTTTTTGGTGTGTAGAGGCGAGACAAGGACTTCGCTGCCGTGCTGACAGTCTTAGTAGCTTGGAGGCGCAGAAGCAGACTGACTGAACCATGCCTCCAACCGACCAGCGATTGAACACAGAGTAACTGACAAAAAAGCAATGTTTTAGATCAACGCTGGCCCCTTCCAGCGATTCCCTTGAGCAGGCATGTTTTGCGTCCTCGACTGTAACAGCTCGATTCAGAGTGTCATTCGCCAAGAAATGTATCATATTCGCATGCGATGGCGAATTGTTCTGTCCGATAGGTGCTGCACCAAATCTATAACACACATGCAAGTTGCAAGATTGAACGTGTGATGTGTCAAACCAGAACTGTATGTCACATCATGCAGAGAAAGCATCATTCTGTCAGCTGCCAATCTTCACATCCTGCAGCCTTTGGGCAGGCACAGAAGGACACCTATCTTGGGCTGTCAGCGTGTGCGCTCATTTGCGACGTTGCAGGACCCCAAGCCTTGGTCTGTATTGAATGCAACTTGCAACCACATGCAACCACCTTTTATCTTTTCTCAGAGACCATTTGTGCAGCCTGACAGCGGCATGAGCGTGGACGTTTTGACCATGGCACATCTTATTTTGCCCTTCCAACAATACGTTGCGGGAACTTGAGCCTTCTCGCGTGCGAAAACATGCTTCCTTATATACAAATGCCTCTGCCAGGTTTACACTGGTTGACTAAAGTGACTAAAGTTCAGACCTGGGTGTAGTATAGTATGTATGGTATTTTAAAACATGTTCTTTTCTTCTGCATGTTTGTTCAAGGCACTACATCAAGCATCAGAAATCACCGAACTTGTTTGCAGAGGTGTAGAAGTTTTACTGGAATGAGCCGTCGAACCTTGCACACCAAACCAGGAGCTCAATGAGATCTCCCGAGTCTCGGTCAGTGCCATGGTGACAAGGGTCTGGAGGGTGTTTGATTTCTAACAAGAACAGTGAGTTGTCAAGGGATGGGCCAGGGAGCAGTGAGGGAATCAAGCTGATGTGAAGGCTGGACCAGCTCTTCAAATATTCAACACTTTCTGTCCAACTCGGCTGGACCCAGAATTCGGCGCAGACTGCTTTCGCGTCCGGTCGGCCAGGTCGTTTCCAACGTCTGGGGTGGCGGTCCAGGGATCCCGTTGCTGCAGGGGACACCGAGGAGAAGGGGAAGTGCTTGGTGGCGGCCTCGAAGCTGGAACCGGGAGAGCTGGCTGTGCTGGATCGTCCTGCCATGGTGCATGACCTTGACAGTGAAGGCGGGAGGGCGGCATGTGAGAGCGGGGAGGGGGTGGACTAGGGTGCAGCAACTTTATTCACGCATGGGGTAATCTGGAAGCTTGTTCATGTAGTGGAACAACTTGCTTGAGGTCCATTTGCTGTACTGGACTCCGAAGCGGTAGTTTTCAAGGAGAAGACCAGTTTTGTTACTAGAGTATGCTACACTTTGCATCAGAGCTTGCGTTTGGCAAGAAGGTAACAAGGCCCGGTGTTGCAGCGCCCTGAAACTTCCCCGAGAGAGTGGGGACCGACAGCATGTGATAAAAGTGGCTCCCTAGGGCCCTGGGCCCTCAACAACCTGAAAGTTCTGCGGCATGCGTGACACACACACACAAAGCAAGAAACTACCAACTCTATATCTATAGCCAAACATGTAGATGGAACAATGCATATCAAAGTGTTCGACCAGCTTTGCCTACATGTGATTACATACATTTGGCGTGTGTACATTGTTTGAAGACCCCAGGATGACAAAGTCCATAGAGGCCAAAGTCGCTCACAAAGCTTGCAGTGCCGAAATCGGGAGGAGGTCAGCGCCTTCACACAAGCAAGGCAAGGACCGAAGGAGTCCAAGTCGCTTTCTAAAGCTCGCAACTGTGGGCAATGTGCCATTGGACCAGCGGGAAGTAGCGCCAGTGCTCCATCATAGGGACATGAGCAGCAGGGCAGCAGCCAACGAGGTTCGCCGCAGTGATCACATCGCAAAAAGAGAAAGTTGACGGCAGCAAAGAAGGATGTCTAGGGCAGGGTCAGACATACACGGCCATGTTCATCAACACATCCACACAGGGCGGGTTATATACAGGAGAGAGCAGTCATGCGAGGCACACACACAAAATCTGCACACAAGTGGTCCAGCTGCAAGACGCCTGGTTAAAGTAGTGAGCCCTTGCACCTATGAGAAAACAATGATACCCGCAGGTATCAAAAACATCTGTACAAAACAAGGTAAGCTCATGGGCGCTCACACACACACACATTCCAGCATGAGGCTGTTGGTCATCACTCGGTCAATCGCTTAAAATCAGATTCCTCCAAAGCAGCAGCATTGAGTCCCCACCCATGAAGTGGCAGTGAAACAAATGGCAGGTCACATCAGCGCCGTCACGAAGTTCCAGACTAAAGTATCATCCTTCACACCTTCTCTAAATACACCACGATGTGCAAGCACTCACCACTGTGTGCCGTGTCCAGCTCCAACGAGATGTGCCGCGTCCAGCACCACATGGTGCCCCTACTAAAGCCAATCTCAATGACACCAGCGTGTGTCCGTACTTTCCATGAACGTGCCATAGTTCTCAACCAAACGTTCACTGCCAGCATCACGACCTTCGCACAGCGTGCCACAGAGTCAGTCACTGATTCGAAGCATCGATAGAACACATCTTACTTTTCAGAAACCAGGGGAACAAGGCTCTCAGCCGCCAGGTTTTCTTGTCAAGGCAAGCCTCAACAACACCTCACAAGTGTCCACAGAGGGTGGCATAATCATCAATGTCGAAAGAGCCCAGTCTGATGAGTCATCACGCTCACTGTGATCTAGGAGCGCTATGGCAAGGATATCCGCCCCAGTTTTACGCCGTGGGTTAGGCGTAAAACGCCGTGGGAGTATGGAGAAGTCCACCTGCCCCGAGTCCGGAGGTCGCCCGCGCCATCGGCCCCATGTAGCAAGCGCCTTTGCCCCGGAGGGCATACATTTGGGGGAGTTTAGCCGTCTTAGCCCCCAGACTGCCGCGCGCCATCCCAGATACAGAGACAATATGGTCGAAGTTCCAGAAGTTGCCCAAGACGCTGCAAGAAGAAATTCTGAGTGACTTGCTGGCACATGAGTGTCTGACATTGTGCAGATCCCCCCAAGAGAAGTAGGAACCAACCCTTTCGATCAACAGAGGCTCCAGCGGGATCCTCTTGTGAATAAAACATGGAGGCAAATGGTATTAGTTTTACTCATGTTATACTCCTGTTGCGATGTCCAATGCTGTGGACAACCTTCTCTCCCTAGAGGAACTTAAACCCAGAGTCCAAATTTGGGCCAGTTTTGAGCCGCCCTGCAGATTGATCAGCTTTTGAATAGGTCTGTTGCCCTTTCCCCAATGGGTCTGTGGGATGCCAGGGTGCTAGGCACTCGTGAAGAGAATCAGTGTTCCAACTGAGGCTTGAAAGGCGATGTTTTCGAGTCTTTGCCCTTTTTGAAAAGTATTGGTCCTTTGAACACAGCAGACATCAGTAGATGACTTGCTTTCTTGAGCGGCCAATCTAGTGGGACAGAGTCCGCGCAGGCCCAGACACTTTCTTTCCGATGAGGTTTGTTTTGTCCAGAAGGTCTAGTACACTCATTGAAGGACTCGGAAGGGAACCATGGCTGAAGAGGAAGAGTCGTCATTGGATGGCCAAAACACTGGCCAGACGGTTCAGCTCAGAGAAGTGGCAAGTCAGACACTCTAGAATCTCTAGAACATTTTGTTAGTGACTGTTAGTGTTTCCCACTTCAAGTGTTTCAAGAAGTACTTTCCTTTTGTATGTCCTTTTCTGCCTTGTCAGTTCTTAGATGTTACGCATCTCCAGTGGAGTACAAACTCGCCTGGGTCGGGGTCAATCGATATGGTGTCAGCTTACATGAAGGTCAAATCTACAGATGAAGACCAATGACCCAGCACCCCGGGGGTGAACATTTTTTTGTATCTTTGGCATTGACTAGCTACTAGGAACAAGAGGCTAGCAAGGGCATCGCTACGAACGGAGCAAGGACGCTACTAGGGGCGCTCCTGGCCTTACTACTGGGAACAAGGACGCTATTAGTCTGATTCTTCTTTTCAGGTCTGGGGAGTTCCTGCTGTGGCTGACAGTGGCACGATCCACCGCCCCAAAATACATTCCGTGTGACAATTGCCAAAGAAATCGAACAGCAGCTTTTGTTGGCAGCATCGCAATCATTGTCAACGTCAGAAAGCCTCCTCATACATCAGCTTACTCATGGGTAAACTAATATGGCGGGCCATGACCTGCTGAATAGATCCAGAGACCTGAATGGACTTCCCAAATCTCGATGCTTTGAGCCAGCAACCACACAGGACGGGGGGGGGGCCAATAGTTGCAAGTCGAACATGCACAGAACTGATGCCCCAATACATGTTCATGGCAGCTTGACAGATTCATCCGTTTGAGTATATTTGTCGATCCTCATGCTTCAGCCTTTTGTTGTTTCCTCCCAGACCCATTCTTGTTTTTTCAATCCCATGTCCCATGTAAGGTCCCCAAACGGCACGTGAGTTAGAGTTAGGGGCAAGTCTAGCTGTTTTGGTGTGTGGTGAGTGCCCAAGATGACCGGTTGAGACGACATATCCAGAATATGCCCAGGCATTCAGATTTGGCTTTGCGAACGCCGGTTTGAGATGGCTTTTGCCAGGTATATGGATGCAACCACCGAGCAGCAAAAGCTCTTGGGAACCTTGAAGCTCAATAGCGTGAAGTTGTCAGGCAAAGCGCCCGAAGCACCCGGATAGGGGTTGATCAAGAGGAAGAGCAGAATGCTTTGCAGTGGAGGCAGTGGAGGTTCAAAGGATAAATTCAGCATGTAGATATAGGAAAGAAGGTTTATAGGGCACTTTTTACCTTCAATAACATTGAGATTCCGATTCAAAGTGTGTGTGACACATAGTAACGCCGCCCAAGTTGTCCAGTGGTGACGACCAAGTTCCATCAGCACATATTTCACAAGCCTTGGGCTTTGAGCGGATCAATCCCAACCAGCACCGGAAAGAAAAGGAAGGAATCGGGAATCAGGAAGTAATTGGAGTGATCCTTTTGTGACAGGTGTTTGGGTCCCTCAACCAGCAGCTAAAACAATGAGATTCTTGATGGTCCGTTGCAGTGATTCCCATCCCTGCAGCAGGCGGAACGGGCGCAGGGGTCTTTTTGACGGTGAGCCGGGCGAACCACTCCTGCTACCCCAACACCCGCTTTTACTTCGAAGAGGCAGCCGGGTTGCTTTGCCCATTTTCAGCGCTTGGGCGGCGGTTTTGGCGGGTTTCGGAAGGATATTTGTTGGGGTTTTGGACGGGTGGTTTCTGTATGAAGCGATGAGGGCTTTGTTTGGGAGCAGAGTCAAAGGATTGCACCTCAAGACTTGGGTGATTTGCTTTTTGGAGAATCCTTTCACTTTCAGGCATGTGGTCTGGGGGAATGACATGACCCAGACCTATCCAATAGGCTGGGTTTCCAGGCCTCCTCCCCTCATCTAGGCTTTTTCCCTCCTGCTTTTGCTGCCTGATAGGAGATGTGTGGCTTGAAGGTCTTGCGGAGCATCGAAGAGGGCGAGGAGAGTGGGAGCGAAGGATGGCACTGGAGTGTTGGGCAAACGGTCACATGTTTTGTGCCGCAAGTGCTCACGCAAAGAATCTGATCACTTGCTTCGGAAGCATTGAAACACTGTTCGGAGCCTTTTGAACTGCCAATCCTTGGGATCAAGCGTTCGGCGACACAGATTTGGTGGACATGGTGCATCGAGGGCCTGTAGTATATATATATATATATAAGTATATATATTGATTGTGCGACGACTCCCCTAGAAACGATCCAACTCCAAAACTATTTTGGCATTCAGATCTGTTCAAGACCGTCCAGACCCTTAGTTATATAGTTGCATGTGATTCGTACCCACCTCCTTTTGTACCTGCTGCTTAGGTTTCACACGAACCTTCACGTTTTCCTCTGATCTTGCCGGATCCCCCGACGTCCACCGCGCCATGGCCACACGTCCGGCGCCCCGCGTGGCGGCCACGGTGTATTTGCCCAGCGGCGCGTCGGCCTTTGTGTCGGTCTCCTCCACCTCGACGGTTGGGGATCTGAAGGCGGGGCCTGCTTCGGCCTCCTCAAACGGCCTTTGTGGCGTTTCGACCCGGTGGGAAAGTCTTGGACCAGGGTGACGTAATCTGAGCTCTTTTTCTCCTAGGTTCTTTTTCGACAGCTGTTAGTAGTTTTGCTCCAGCTGGTGGCAACAGTCCGATTTGTAGTCTCCTCACATTTGGCTATTTTGGAAAACCAAGATTGAAGGGACTCCGGCAAACGGGTTGTTGTGCTATTTCGAACAACACTCATATTTGGCCGCGCAAAGAGAAGGCATCTCTCAGCCTTCAGGTGGCCGCCCAGCGGATTTTGAAGCAAGGCCCCCTTCGACTTCTCAATGCTGATGGAGCTGTGCTGGATTGCCGACGTTTGGCCAAAGAGGCTCTGAAGGAGAACGAGACCTTAACGGGCCTGGTACAGCGCATGGGACTTTGTGCCACGCAGGGTGCTCTGGCTTTGTGGTCTGTGGGTGGGGAGGTCGTGGTTTTTGGTGACAAGGACGAGGGCGGCAACCGGGAGCGCCTCTCGCAGGTTCAGAGCATTGCCGCAAGTGAGTCAAGCTTTGCGGCCTTGAAGGCAGACGGTTCGGTGGTATGCTGGGGCGACCTGTACACGGAGGTGGGCAGGGGTCGCGAGTGTTGAAGTAGAGCGATGTTTTTTTGCGCATCAACCTTTACGGCGCCGCAGTTGGAATTCTTGCTTTCTTCCGCTCAATTCTGGGGTTTCCACGTCATGGCTCATGACTCAATTGACTCATTTGACTCATTTGACTTATTTCTTTTCAAAGGAAGCATACAAGCATACTGACCCAGCTCGGGAGTCAGACATAAGAAGTTGGGACGGGGAAGTGCTTGGCCAGCTTGACCTGCTCGACGTCGAAAAGCAGTTGTTCAATGTGCGGGAGATCGAAGCTTGTGAGAGTGGCTTTGCCGCTCTTCGAGCCTCGAAAAGAAAGGAGGTGCTTGGTGATGATGGGTGATCATCGGTGATCATGGGTGGATTGGGAGAAGCATGAAGTACTTTCTCTCATTTTGTTTTGTGGTATGCGACTGAAGGTGATTGTACTGAAGCTGACACACACACACATACGCTCAAGAAGTTGGGGTCACATGTTAAGACTCTTTCTTAGAGTGGGGCTTGAGCCCGGTCAAGCAAGGAGAAGATGGACGGGTGGTGACCTGGGGAATGTCCAGCAGTTGCCCTGTCGAGCTGAAGGATGTCCAACAGATTAAGGCCAGTGCATCGGCCTGTGCTGCCTTGCTCGCAGATGGAAGCGTCGTGACTTGGGGGAGGGTTGACAGCAGCCAGGTCCAAGAGCAGCTGAGACATGTTCAGAGGATTTTTGCTACACGGCTCGCCTTTGCGGCTCTGTTAGCTGATGGCTCAGTCGTTTGTTGGGGTGACCGATTTCATGGGGGTGACTGCAGTGCAGTCCAGGAGCAGCTGAAAGATGTGCAACAGATCTTTGCCTCCCGGATGGCTTTTGCCGCACTTCTTCAAGATGGATCGGTGGTCACCTGGGGGTCCCCACACTATGGTGGAGATAGCAGCCCGGTGCAGGATCGCTTGACCAACGTTCAAGACATCCAAGCGACGACCGGTGCCTTTTCGGCCTTGCTATCCGTCCTGAGACCTTTAGGCTTAAGCAAAATGCGTCGTGTCATGAACTCAAGCTGCGAAGGTTGCTTGGTCGTGTTCTTGAAGCCATGCGGCTAGTTGAGCAAGACGCCCCGATTCCTAACATCTTGAAGAAACGCATCTGGCACCACCCATTGGTTCGTAATCAAGGGTTCCATAGGATTGAGGATATTCAATCTTGGTGTCACAGTGAACTTGAAAGCTTTCTCCGCCAAGAGAAAATTGCGCGTCTCCAGAAATGGCGTCAGCACATTCGTTCCGATCCCAAGGCGGCTGCCAAGTGGGTGCGCAGAGAACATCATGCGCCGGTCACTTCTGTCTATGAAGACACTTTTGAGCAGGGCAGGCCTTCATCCAACAACCAAAAATCACTTGAGGCCATTCGTAAATTCTGGGAAGGTATTTGGCACCGGCAGGGGCCTGACCTCGATAGAGCAACCCAAGCCTGGCAACAACACATGCCAGCAGAGCCGGAACAGCCTTGGAATGACATCACACCACAAGAGCTCCAGATCCAAGCTGCGCAGCAGCGTGGCAAAGCTCCTGGGCCTGATGGTTGGAGTGGTGACGAATTAAGTTTTTGGCCTGCTCAAGCCTGGATTGTCTTTGCCGCCCTTACTAATAGGTGGTTAAATAGAGAAGAAACCCCCAACGTCTGGGCTAGCGTGAGACAAGTCCATATTCAGAAGCCTGAAGCCGTTTTGCGTTCAGACGGAGCCTTGCATGCTAAGCATTTGCGGCCTATTGCCATTCAATGCATCCTTTGGCGGATCATAGCTTCCTCTTGGACCTGCCGCTCTGACACACGGCAGTGGGTGCAACGCTGGGCGCACCCTTCTGCGCAAGGGGGAGTTGCTGGCCGCAGCGTTGGTCAGGCGATTGACATCTTGCTTCAAGAGTTTGCTAAGAAGGACAAAGTCCTAGTCAGCTTAGATTACTCAAAGTGCTTCGATCATGTCGATCCTAAGATAGGTATTCGATGCTTGGTTCATCTCGGCTGTCCCAGACAAATTGCCGGCCCGTTGTCAGCCATTTGGCTAAACCAACGCAGGTGGTTGACGTACAACGGTGAGTGCCTCCCTGAGGCCCAGCAGGTTAGTTCGTCTTTACCGCAAGGGGATTCGCTAAGTCCCCTCACCTTGATCGCAATTGTCTCAGGCCTTTCGGCTCATATTGTGCACGACGAGCCGGAGCCCCACGTTTTGACAACTTTCCTGGACGATCGAAATTTCATAGCTTCTTCTCCTGCCCAGGCGGGCCGGCTTTTCCATAATTGGAAACTCCTGTCGGATGAAGTAGGCCTCAGTGAAAACTCGAATAAAGCTAAAGTCCTTACTAGGAAACAGAAATGGCAACAGGATTTGATCGATGAAGGCTTTAGTGCTGATCAAATTGTGCCTTCCACCAGAGTTTTGGGGGTTGATGCAACGGCCCGCCTGGGGGCTGCCATTAAACCTACTCATGATCTGCGTGTGCGTCAAGCGCAACAGAGAGCTGATCGCATTGCTCTGCTCCCGGTGACTTCTCAGCACAAAAGAGGGCTCTTGGCAAGCGTGGTGGTTCCTAAGGCTGTTTGGGGTACGTGGACGCGCCGCCCACCTGCCTCCAAGCTTGATACTAAGATTAAGCGTTGTTCTGGGTGCCACCAGAGTGCTTCAGTAGACCTGTGGGTTCTGCTAACTGGCCATGGCCTTAGTGTAGAGTTTTGCTCAGGTTTCCAAGCTTTTTCTTATCTCGCTAAGCAAATTCATCGAAGACCTCGACAGTGGCAGCCTCGCCCTCGCAGAGGCACATGGGTGCACCGAGTTCAAAAATGGCTGGCCTCACTTGGGTGGACAAGTGTAGCGCCGTGGATGTGGAATCACCCGCGGCAAAACTGGAATTTGAATCTTCAAAACCCAATCACAGAAAGGGATGCTCATGAGATTCGTGAGTCTTGGCGCTGGCAGCGCTTCCAAAGTTTTCTGAATAGCAGCCGCAGAGATGCGACCAGTGTGCAAGGCGTTGTCGTCGATGCTCGACGTATTTCCCTTGCTCGCAAGCTTTTCCGGCAGCAGAATGTTCATGGTTGTGGGGTCATGATGGGTGGAGTGATATCCGACGCCCGTTTTGACAAAATCAGAAGTGTAAACCTTGGCGGTTGCCAATGGTGCTCCGAGGAAACAGTGCCGACGTGGCACCACCTTGCATGGGAATGTCCTGAGCTTGCGGCCACTCGTTGTCGTCTGCCTCAGGATCCCTTGCAGAGAGTTTTGGGCTGGCCGACTGGGGCCGACAAGGCATATGATGAGGCAGTGATGGTTCACTTGTCAACTGTGCGTCAGCGCATCCTTGACAGAAGATACCGTCACATGTGATTCTCGCCCTGAAGTGTTTCTTGTGGTGGTATGGTCTACTTGGCCTGCTACCAGTTCAAACTCAATAACCTTTTCGGCCTTGCTGTCGGATGGCTCCGTCGTCTCATGGGGTGAACGGCTCAAAGACAGCGAATGTGTTCAGCAGCTGGTGGATGTGAGGCAGCTGGCCTCCACTGATGGTGCCTTTTGCGCGGTTTTGGCCAATGGATTGGTACAATGCTGGGGCCATGGCTTTCCTGATGCTGGGGACTCTGGCTTGGTGGATGTGCAGCTCAGAGATGTGCGGGAGGTGCTTGGGGCGCGGAACACCTTTGTGGCTCTCCGGGCTGATGGCGCCATCCTTATGTGGGGCGGTAGATACAAAGACAGCCCAGAGCTGCGGGAAGAGTTAAAGAGGCTTTAACATGCGCCAAAAGCAGGCGATTGATGCATGAACGTGCAGTGGTAGATACAGTATTCTGATGGTGTGGAGAGAGGCAGGTGTCTATGTTTGGAGGTGGACTAGCATGAAACAACACGGGGAGTCGAGAACTTGCATCCTGCCGTAAGAACAGGATGAAGTGGTGGAAGAAAGAGAGCAATAAACGTACAGCGGACTTCAGAAAAGTTTCTTGACTCATCTTCATAAATGTTGTTGAAATCAAACAAAAGTGACTCATGTTCGTACTTGTTCTTTCCTGTTCCTGCGTTGGTAGACCTCAGCACATCTCAGCTGCTTGTGCTTGTCAGAAAGAAAGTGCCTCCAGGAGATCACGGTCTCTTACCTTACGGATCGTAGTCTCCTGCAACCGATTGCCCCGAGGCCGACGAACAGTGTCGGGAGATGGTTGGGTGATCTGGGTTCATTGAGTTTAAGAGGAAAGTGCATGGAGTCTCCTTTCGAAAAAGGAATCGCTTGAATTCGTTGTTTTAAGTAAGTGCCGGCAAGTTGGAGGACATTTTCGTAAATTCTTGGAGCCCCTCACACTGGCCAATGCACTGTGCTACTAGAACACGGGGCAGGGGCTGGGTCGAGGTGTGCCTGCAGTTCTGGGAGCGGCGTATTCCTTTGCAAGACATGTAAACACTCACGACTTCCGATGCGTGCCTTCCGCATCGCTAAAACATTCCCGGCCAACTCACCAATGTTTGATGACCGACACCATCAATGTCTTTGGGGTTCCATGTCCTGGGTTTTGCTTCGGGCATTTTTCAATTTTTCCTATGGTCAAAATGTTCTTCTGGGAAATATCTTTATTGTTTTTTTCCAGGTGCCTTAAGCCCAAGATTTCTGAGTTCCGTCTCATCATGATTCCAAAGCCTCCACCTCCACCTTGAGAGTCCTGGAGTGCAAGACCTGGCTACCTCCACCATGACTCCATCGTCTCACATCGACCTAGGCAAACCTCGCTCCAGACCTGGCAGTTCCGCTGCCAGTGCCAGCGCTGCGCTGCCCCCTCCGACGACGCGCGCGCGATGCGCTGCCGCTGCGGAGCGCTGCGCAGGGCGACTGCGGAGGGCTGGGGGAGGTGCCCGACCTGTGGAGCTGACGATCAGGAGCCGAAGTGCCAAGTTTGATCTCTTTTTGCTGATGGTTTGGTTTGGAAAGCTGTCAATGGAATTCTAGCTCACATGCTTTAAAATGGTTGCACCAGCCAGTCAACGGCAACGCTCGCAACTTTGAGAAATTTGCACAGTTGCGTGTTTCTTCAGCTACTAGTAGTGATGCCCTTGCTACTAGTAGCGATGCCCTTGTTACTAGTCAGTACCGCGGCCCCAGTTCGAAAGATTGCGCGGTGTTGCCGGGACGAAGGGGGCGCATAAGGTGTGTTCTCGGTGTGCTGGGGGCTGTCCGAAGGCGGTGTAAGGATGGATGGCGCAGGTGGTAGCACCTGCCATGGATCCCCAGGTGAGAACCACCCTGACCCTTTTTTGGTGATTTCAGGAGATGCGCCGGGCCTCGAGCCGTTGGTGGCTCCGCTACAATGCTCCTTGGTGGAGGTACGCACCGCATTGAATTGTTGGTGCAGCTGATATGTGTCCAGCTCAAAAGCCACTGCAGCTGCAAGAACTTGTTAAAAGTCCAAACATGTCCAAATGTTCTTTTATATTTTGCTAGTTAAATACAAAATACAATTTTGTTCTTTCTTTCTTCCTTGCAATGATCTGACACCGAGGCCCAACTATGCAGGAACAAGTTACAGCGAGAAAGGACAAATGCACGGAAGGCACGAAAGCAAGATACTGAGGGCGTGGCTGAACAAAAGTGCAAAGCTGGTTGCAGACTCGAGGAAATCAAACTCGTTGATTAATTACGGCTTTGAAAAGCGGTGGTGTCGTCAAAGTAAAGGACAAATCATTCTGATGAAACCAGCGCCACCTACCAGTGAAGGCCGGGATGCGATGCCCGGCTTTGCGGAAGAAAGGCCCAATTTGCGTGCTGACAATGCTTTGGCCCAACGTGCAAAAGGCAAATCAACGACCCCTCTGTGAACAAGCATTTTGAAACAACTGGCAAAAGTACTGACATCCCGTCCCAGAGAAGGAGAGACATGGTACACAAGGGGATTGTGTTTGGAAGGGTACCTAGCCGCAACCACTCTTCTTAGTCCCAGGACTGAGTGTTGGGGCTCGAGGACGTGCATGCGCTATGAAGTCAATGTACAGTTCACACCAAGGGATGTCGTTTTCAGGACAAACAGGATCGCCATCAGGCCAGCGTAGCATAAGCGCCCATCGTAACAAGGCATCAATGAAGGCAGTTGGCCAGTTCCTGACATGCATTTCTTCCAAGCTGCTCGAGCTTTCACATGGCTACTAGGGGCTCCTGGCATCGCTACTAGGAACAACGCTACTAGGGGCTCCAGGCCTTACTACGAACAAGAAGCTACTAGGAGCAAAGGGCATCGCTACTAGGAGCACGGACGCTGAGCCGGTCGGCTCAGCTCAGGCATGTGCGCCCTTGGCGGCAGAGGCGGAGCTGAGTAGCTGCTGGTGGCGTCGGGGCATGCATGGTCGGCCGAGCAAAGTGAAGAGCCAAGGGTGGATGGAGGCCGGCTGAAATCCATGCGCCGCCTGGGGAGATGGGCATAATTGGACGTGGGGTTGACCTCGGGGAGGTGGACGATGAAGGGAAACATGAGAGGAATGGAAGATCGAACAGGAAGTCTACATGGATCATTATTGTATCTTTCCTTAGTCATGAAAAACGGTGTTTGTTTTCCGCTCGTGAACGCGCAGGAGGTGGTGGCACTGTACCGTGAACTGGCGACCACGGAGGGGCCCCGCCCCGACCCCTCGGTGCACTGGATGGGGGCGAGCCTGGCGGCCTTCGCCGCGGACGCTCGGGCGACCGGATACCGCCATCTTCCCAAGGAACACCATGAAGAAATAGTTACGGGAGAAGTACCGGAGAGAGGGGAGAGAGAGGCAGTCTTTGGGGATCACAGAAGAAGTTGTGGGTTGAGGTTCCTCCTTGAAACAGATATGTTTTTTGTTGGAATGAAGGGTGCGATGATTGTTACCTTCGCATTGTATGTACATGATTGCTTTGCCCTGGCAACTGAGATGAACCCAAGTAATTAGCTGGGATGCACGCCCTGAACCCTGTCAAAATCATCATAAATAATCCTTTCGCTATATTTGGTCAGGCCAAACATCCTCGAACTCAATTCCCCCACCCATCTCAGCATTGTTTTGAGCCAATTCGCTTCAATCGCCCAGGAAGCCCATCTTTGGCGGGGTGAATTTGCCGAAGCTGTCACTTGGAAGGAACTGCCATTCTCACCGGAGTCGATGGACGGTCAGAATGAGTTGGGCAGTCAACTATGTTTTACGATTGACAGCGTGGTATTTTCTGTCCACCTTGAGAGGAAACTCTGCCAGAGGGATCATGTTCCTGTGTGAGAGGGTTGCATGAGATGATCTGTTTCGGCGGCATCGTGAAACTTAAACCGCTGTTGAACGTCTCCATCGCCAAAGAAAGATACGGCCCAAGCAGTGGGACAGGTCAATGTAGTACATGTTCACTTAGCGCAAAAGCCACCAAGGGCAAAGCTACTAGCTTGAGTTGAAACTGGAGATACGGGGAAAGTGGATCAGTGGATGGGGATACGGGCAAAGTAGATGGGCGGCGGGCAGAGGCTGGGGGGGTGCTGCGCAGCGGCCTAAATAGAATTCACCCACTTGAACTGTTAGACTATTAGGTCGGAGGCCATCGCTATTAGGTTGGAGGCCGCAAAAGCTGGAGGGCATCGCTTCTAGGTCGGAGGCCATCGCTATTATGTTCCTTTTGCTATTAGGTTGGAAGCCATCGCTTCTAGGTTGGAGGCCATTGCTATTAGAATCAACGAATCCCATCTGCATCCGAGGCCTCTGCGGCCTCTGCGCGCCTGCATTATGTGCAGCGGGTTGTCGGTGATGTGGACTTGGCAGCTGTGCGCTGGGCCAAGGCGGCCTCTAGGGATCCGGAATTTGGGGGGGTGAAAAGCTGTGAAAAGCTCCGCGAGATCATAGAAGATCTCCTCAAGCTATTTACAATTATAATGATTAATGCAGACTCTTGATCAAATAACCCCCCTGTATGAAGAGGCCAGCTGGTGAGCTGGTGGAAGTGCTTCCCCAGCAGTGTGAGGGAAGTCATGTTTGCTTGCCGTTTCATTTCTACCAGAAGACGAAAGACCACAGCAAAGCTGGAGGCAGAAGATGAGAAAGAATCCGAAGACAAGTACAATAGATGTCAATGAATAGTTAGTATGTTATATAGATAGAAAGATAGATAGATAGATAGATAGATAGATAGATAGGTGCGATGAAGAATGTTGCCTGATGTGATGTGTGATGTTGCTGTTGTGAAGTAGGATGGTGATGATGATGATGATGATGATGAGGAGGAGGAGGAGGATCATGACCATGTGTGTGTGTGTGTAGCCCTTGGAATCATCAAGGGCCCTTTGGCTCTTGTTTTTAAGAATGCACTGGACCACCAGGGTCCCGGAGGAGCGGTTGCCAACGAAGACCTCCTTTGGGACACGTGTAAACATACCTTCTCAACTGGATACCTGTTGTTCTCGCTGTTTTGGTGGTTGATGTGGGGAGAACACCGCAGTCACGCATCCTTCTTTGCACTTGAGCCTTTACCTTTACCTTTTTGAACTTCAATCTTTGAGGCTTTTGGAAGATGGTTGAACCCACTAGTTGAAGGGTTTGATTTGGAAACATGGTGTGAATATGCCAGGCAGCATGATTTGTCATTTTTTCGCTGGGAGGCCACGCGCGACGTTGCCCAAGCGATGGAGTGCGAGAGGGAAAATCCGCAAGATGCCAGCAGGTGTGGGGCGAACATCCTGGAGCACGTCAGCGATTCAACCTAAAAACAGATCATTCTTTCCACAAAAGCAAGCCAATTAGAATCTGGAGGTGATTTGAAGAGGGACTTTGCGACAAACTCCACGGGCCCCATGTTCTGAACACAAATGAATGGCAAAACCAGAAGTTGGGCCTCTTCAGCACACCCAAGAAGTGGGTCTCGGAGACATGGGCATAACCAAGTCACAAAGTGGTTTAAGAACAGACGACAGTAAAACATACAAGACTACCTGATGCTTCCAACAGAATGAACAATGCTACACCACTTATAGGTCTCCATCGGACACCCCTTGGAAGCACTGGGTGTATATGACTGGAGTGCATTTTGGAACCGCCCGCTCAAGAATCCACTGTCGTTGTTGGAAGTTAAATGAATAACTTATAACAGTCTTTTTTCAGTCTCTTCAACACGTGTTCTTGGAGCTGGCCGCCTGACGTGAATTTTTCTGAGGACTGGACTCACAACTCTTCCCGCATGGCGGACATCTTGCTCTCTCCCAGATCCCCACGAGAGGAGCACGCCGCAGTCGGCGTTCGCGTCGAATCGTGGATGTCGTGTTCGCGTTGCGAACCGTCACGGTTTTCAGTTGCAATTCGGGTTGCGGCCTTGGAGTCCAGCTGGGCCTGTGAGTGTCAGATTCCGATTCTTTGAGAAAGTTGTCCAAGCCTGTCTGTCAGAACAAGTTCTTTGCAGCCACTGCCTGTAGTCCGATTTGGTGCGCCAGGAGCCCTCTCCAGGCAGAAGCTGGGATCATGGAGAGTGAGTTGGTGGCAGAGTCGTCAGAATGTCGGTGCGCGATTTGTTCCAAGACATCCTGCAACATCGTTGCATCTCCTCAGACGGCGAGAGAGTCTGAAGACACTCCCTGGTTTCCCCACTCTGAGAGTCTGGTGGGTCCGGTCCATTACGGTCCCCTCCGGACCATCTTCCTTCCACCGTGTCGAGAGTCCCGTCGCCAGGGGTGCGGAGTGCGGGGCCGCCGGGAGGCTCAGCTACTGAAGGAGGTATACTCGACCACTTTTAATGCTTGTTTCTAATAGCTTCTTGTTACTAGTAGTAAAGCATTTGTTACTAGTAGCGATGCACTTGTTCCTAGTAGCTTATTGTTTCTAATAAGGATGTCTTCCTTCAAAAGTCAGATGAAAAGATGGATGCTCCAAGCAGTTGACATCCAGGCTGTTGGATCCCAGGTATCCATGTCGGATCACCTGCACGGAACTTTGAATAGCTTGCAGTTGGTCGGTCTTAAACATCCTGGAACAACACAAACACCTGCTGGCAAAATGCGGACTTAGACAAGAACCCATGGGTGCAGGGAAGTGTTGAGAAGTTGTCAGGTTCTATTCAGCTGTCCAGCTGACCATCATTGTGCCATTGTTGTCATATTGCGTCTATTTTTGGAACTTTCGACCCTTTGTTGAGTACGCGAAGGCCTTCCTTTTTCACAAGCTCGGGTGCGCCTCCGGTTTTTTCCCAAGAAAAGCGACCACCCCCTTTGACCGCCTGTTTCGAGGCTGCGAAAGCCATCCACCCGTGACTTCCGTCGAACATGCACCCAGGTCGGAGTTGTGGGCCCCCCTGGCTCTTGAGCTACGAGAAGGACTGGCTTGAATGAACTGCACCCCTCGTGATTGGGTGTTGAGCGAGTGGTGTGCCGGAGCGCCATGGGTGTGGCGGGGCAAAGGGGAGACCCCCCTTGCCTGTGCTCCAAGCGGGAGAAGCATGGTCTTTTCTGGAAAGAGACCCGGGGTCGACCGAATCGACCTAATCACTGGATCACACTTACAAGATCTTCCACAAGATGAACGAACAAGACCAAGTCAAACCCACGTTACATTTGATTGTGTTTGTGGAGACCTGTATCGTTCTTGAGAGCCCTACTTTCATCATGTCTGACTTGCCCATGTATCCCCACCAAGGTTGGTTTCCCGGTTCCCGAAAGTCGTTGTTTTTGTGGGTGCGATTGTTGCGCTTCTTTCTTTTGTGGAGAGTGGGCCGAGCCTTACCTGACTCGCATCTGCGCCTGCTTGGGGAGGAGCTTCGAACTCGGCACACCTTAGGAGGCCAGGAGAGGAATCAAGGGAGCAGCGTCTCACAAGCGACATGTCCATCATTGTTCGTCATTTTGTTCGTTTTTCCAATTTTTGGAGGTGTCAACATAAACCATTGCCGTCGATGATGGTTGGTATTTTATTCGGTTGATTCATTCCCTACTCAGTGGATTCACTCGGAATGCTTTGAAGATCGATGAGATGTGGGTATAGCCCGATCAAATGTGCATCCCAGCACAGACTGACTTGTGACTTCAACTGACTTCGGGATTCGCCTTTAGCACAAAGTTCAATATAGTGCTCTTGCCCCAAAAGATGTGAGTGTGGCTTTCAAAGAGGGCCATAAGATCGGATCGCTTGATGACAGATCCTGAATGGATCCCAATGGATCTCGATGATTTCAGCTGCCTAGCTCTTGTGGCAAAAACCCTTCACAGCAGGGACCGCGGGACCCGACCATCGGACCCGGTGCCAGCGGTGCCAGCGGTGCCTTCGGCGGTGCCTTTGCCCTTGCGGCTTCTGGGCTCCAAGCTGAAGCGAGGCGGGTGCCTCGTGAAACACCGCGTCCCGGCCTTTTTGCGGGGGTGCCTGGGAACCAATACCTCAACCGAACGGGAGTGTGTAAACGGTGGATGGATCAAACTGCCTGAGATGAGGAAAACATCTAGTCTTGCTACATGGGAGTTCGCAATTGCCGAATACCTTCACTTAGCTGTGCTCTGTTGATCTTTTTTTGGGAAAATCTCCATGTCGTGTTGTGGAATGCAACCGGCACTGTACACGTCCTCGGCTTGACCTGCCAGTGTGCCCGAGTGGTGGAAGAGGTTTTACATCTTGATATTGGGGGTTTGTAGAGTCTACTGCATAAATTATTGTCTCAGCTATTTTCAGCTTCATGTTTTTGGCGGTTTTCAAGTGTCTTCGAGGTTGGTGATGTGCAGTGGGAAAGAACACGTAAAACCTTTTGTGTCATGGATTTTGAGTGTAAATGCACAACGGGCTGTGGCACTTTTTAGCACTATCAATGTCATTCTGCAATGAGTTTCAACTTGAGAAGTGGTTTGATGATCAGGGAGAAAACGGTGGTGTAGTAGTGCAAGCATGGTAACGGACACTACAAATGACACAGACACACTGCAGACCAAGGAAAGTTCACGTGAGGCCACATGGCACTTGTTATCATGTAATTATACTCAGATGTTGAACCTTATTGTCGAACAAGACTATGACCACGACTGCTCTTGCCATCTTCAGAGTTTTCCGCCGGTACAGCTGTCTGGAGGTGTTGTTTGATACTTTTGGATGCAGCAGGTTTGTCAATTGAATTGAATGATTCCATCACTTAATCTTGTAGTCATCTGGAAATCCTGAGATCTTGTCAGCAACCTGAGCTGCAGTGTCCCAAGCTCTGGCTACGGCTACGTGACCACACGTAGTGCTGGAGACGTATGACTGACCTTCCGGACCGGCCGCGGCCAGAACTAGTTAGCAAAAAAACTTGTTGATTTGGACAGGACCGCTATGACATCTATGAACATTTGCACACTTCTTTGTTCTTTTCTGTGTTTGTGCTTGGGTACACCTTCTGTGGTATCAGGCAGCAGTGCGGAGAGGCAGGGCCATGACCACCGCGCCTGTGGGTTCCAAGCGGGTTGACATCTTGGCTCCGCTTAGGTTTTAGCTGCAGAGTGGTCAAGAACTCCCTGGGGCACTCTGTGGGACTTTTGTGTTCCCGAAGAAGCTGTGATTTTCTCAAGTGTGAATCAAGTGTGAGAATTTGAAGGGGTCACTCCGCCAATGTTGTCGAAAGATGTGAATGATTAGCGCGGAAGGACGCTGATGTTTTGGTGGAAGGTGGGTGCGTCTCAAAACAAGTCACACACGGACTTCCTAAGCCACACTGTTTCGAAGGAAAGTAGACAAAGAGCAAGTGGTGACGCAGACCACTGTGGATGCAGACCATCATTCTCAGAAGCCCCCAACCCCAACACCACCCCCCTGAGATGGGGTATCCATGATTTTTCCTGAGAGAGACCAAAACATGGAAAGATTGCCCTCAGAATTGCTTCTCCCCTGGTTGTGGTTTTCCGCATATTTGCAGGTCCAGATCGCCGGACCCGGGTGGCTTCGCAGGTAAACCCAGCCAAGAGGCGGGGCCGGTGGTAGAGGTCGCTATATAATCATTTTCACTTGTGCTTGCTGTAGTTGAACCGCAGCCACATCCTGCCCTCATTCAATGTGCCCCGCCTTGATCCTCGTACTAGGGGCTCCTGGCCTTACTACTACGAACAAGAGCGCTACTAGGGGCTCCTGGCATCGCTACAAGGAGCAAGGACGCTACTAGTAGCTCCTGGCATTACTAGTAACAAGAAGCTACTAGGGGCTCCCGGCATCGTAAGTTGGCGACCTATAAAGACGAGTGGAGTGGCTCTTCACTTGGTCTGAGGCTCCGGTGGTGGGGCGCCCCTTCTGGCTAGGACAGGGGCGTCTCGATCGATGCGGACTCGTGATGGTTGGATGGGCTGGATGCTGAGGCCAAGCAAGAGCAAAGAAACAAAGAAGAGAACATGCAGATGCTGACAGCGCTGCAGTCTTTTGTGTAGTCCTCTTGCTTTGATGATCTTTGATGTGTATTTTTTCTCACACGGTGATTATGGTGATTGCATCGGCCAGGAGAGCCCAACAGCGCCACACCAGAGACCACCAGCCATGCGCATTATGGCAGGCCCGGGTGGTGGCCGCTCTGCCCCAAACAGGCGAAGCTTCAGCTTTTTGAACAGACAAACACATGGCCTTAGCACAGAATGATACAGAATGCACCGAGGTTGCAAGTCGTTCAAACACGCTTCATGCTTTCTCCAAGTCTTTGATGCCACGGTTTCGATGAAGACTTATATATAGGGTGCTCATCTCTACTCTTCAAGGGCTATCCACAGCGAGAGCACTTGGCATCAAGATTCGGTTTACGGGTTTGGTCGTACAAACGTCATACGCCCGTTTTTCGTGAACTGATGACGTTTGACGTCGGTGCTTTGCCCGTTTTCTGCCGGAACTGGTGCCAGGTCCACAAGTCCCAAGGCGCAGCAGTCGACCCGGTGGACCGGACCCGAGAGGTCCATTGCTGAGAGCGGACCTTCCGTTCTTCCACGTGTTCAGCTCCAAGACATCCCATCACCTCCGGTGTTCTTGAAGCAATTTGCTCTATATATAATTCTTATTTCTAATAGCTTCTTGTTACTACTAGTAAGGCACTTGTTACTAGTATCGATGCACTTGTTCCCAGTAGCTTCTTGTTTCTTTATAACTATATATTTATACCTTAGGACCTTGGGTTTTCGGAGAACATGCCCGCAGGTGCGACGAGGTCTGGGCCTTGTGAATGCCGAGCATCGCGTGAACAAAGCGATAGAGAGCAATTCATCCCTGCAGTCTACGGTTGATACGTCGGGGAACGTGGGGAAATTCACTGTTCAGTTGGGACATGCACACACACACACACAAACACCACAAAACTCCAACACTTGAGGGGTCTTCGATAGATGCAAAGTAGTTGTTGCCAGCCTCAAGAGTGGAAAGGAGTCATAACGACCGAGAGAAGCAAGTCGATTCGATGATATGGACCTGAAGCATCCTGAAGCTATGGTGTTTGAGGCTTTTGGGAGGCTGCTTTGGGGTGTCCTAGCTGGATGGGCAAATGGTTCAACTGAACTGAATATCCACTTTGGAAAAGCTTTTCATGGGCGATCCTGGAAAACACTTCATGGCTCACAGTCGGAATCGACCTCTTCCACCACTCTGCACCATGTGTGGACGACACACGTGACACATCGTGACCAGTTCGCAGGGGTGCGGACACCGAAAAGCAAAAAGAGCACACATGCAAAACCAAAACCCAATGCAGACCTGACCCAACCCTTCTGCCCTTCCCATTGGACCCGCATTCTTAGATTCCTAGGGGCGAAGCGGTCGACCGAGGCTCTGTTCAGCCGAAGATGAAGAACGAAGGTGAGGACGAAGGGTTCAAGGGGTGTCCCTGGTTACTAGTAACTTCTTGTTACTAGTAGCGATGGCCTCCAACCTGCTTGCGATGGCCTCCACCTAATAGCATCCTAAATACTGTGTCCAAATTCTTGAGTCCCTCGAGGTGACGTAGACTCTTAATTACGCTGTTCTACATGGTTTTTCGATCCACATCGGGAGGATTGGGGAGGGTTATAACCGGGACATTGCATGAACTTCCATTCTGTCGCCCACAACCCAAAGCTCCAATCGCAGCATCCAATGCCGGCTCTTGCATCTTCGGGTACCTGACTAAAAAGGGTCCCAAAAACAAAATACGATCCTCTTATATCCTCTTTATTCAGTGGAGATGTGAGGTCGAGAATCTAAAACTCTGGAAGATGGGATTAGATGGGAGGATCCTCAAGCGGCTTTTTGCCGGTCGCCGCTCGAGAATTTCGTCCACTTCCGGTGGGTCGAAGCCTAACTCGAACCGTCCGAGTTGTCGAAATGGTGAGACCCAAACGCTTGATTGAGTTCTCTCTGAAAATTAATGTAGACTCGAGTGTATCTCAACCCCTATGAATACAATTGAATATATATATATATATTTATAATTCATATATGAAGAATGATGAGTCTTTCTTTTAAATCAAGTTTAGCCGTGCGCAACGTGAATCTGTCACTTGAACTCTACTCTGGCCCAGTTGGCCCCACAAAACCCTTCGCACATGTTGAGGTTTCAAAGCGTCCCTTTGAAGGGCGGGTACCATTGCAGAGGTCTGCTCCGCAAGAGCCCAATCTACAGGGATCATTGTTCTCAGGGCAGGGTGCTACTAGAAGCTAGTAATTAGAATTTAATTCTATTTTGATTCTAATAGCAAACATTGTTACTACTAGTAAGGCACTTGTTACTACTAGCGTGGCACTTGTTACTAGTAGCAATCAAAATGCATCCCAGGACCATCCTCTACAGACTTCCCAATCGATCGATCCCCCACCACCGGTTTTGCTGACTCGGTAAGAAGCAGGGTGGGGCGGTTCGATGGGTTTTCCTCCAGTTCTTCCAGGGGCGCCACCCGGTGTTTTCATGAGCTCGAAACGAACTTCCTTTGGTACAAGGGAGCCCTCTTTTCAGTGTTGCAACTGCAGGTGCCAGCGGAGCGAGCAACCCACTTCAGCTTCCATCTTCCAGGCGAAGTGAGATGGGGTCCTTTTTGCTGCGAGACTGAGAAGTGGAACAAGCGAGATGGAAATGGGAAGCATTGAGTTTAGATGAGTTTCGGTTGACACCAGCCCAATCCCTCAGTTTCACCGAAGATCACCAAAGTACTTGCATCAATTAATGATCATGATAAACTGATAAACATTTATATGCTTGTCTTTTTCTTATTTCTTCGTTTGGGGATCTCCTCAGCAGAACACCATTGCCTGGTGCAGATTCGCGACTGTCGCCCACCAGGTCTCCAAAGCCTGAGACTGAAGGAAGAGAAAAGGAGGTGGGCGACATCTGTGGATGGCCACAATGACACAACACGCATGTCATTGGAATTTTGTGGACAGAGTCTATCATATCCTTTGTGCTCCAACAAGAGCTGACATCCAGTAGCTCAACATACTTGCCATCCTGTCTTGCAATCCCAAGAACTGATGGGTTACTCTTTTTTGGACCCCAGCTGCCCCTTATTCCAAGAGCGAACCATCACCTGAAGTAGAGTTGTTACAGTTGCGATAGCTGTTAGGAAGCGGCTCAGTCCTCGCCCAGTCGCTTCAAGCATGCCGGGTGCCAAGGAGGAGATACAGCATGGCCGCAGACATCTCTGAATAGGTGTGGTGTTAAACTGTTAGAATGTATTCAGATGTTGAACTGGAGATTTGGACAGACCCATGGGAAGAGCACAAGTAGACTAAAATTTGGCCGGCCTCATTCTCAGATGAAGGTGGCTTTCTTCAATCTTCCTGACAATGAAACACAATCCTGCGCTTTCGTTTGTTAAGGTTTTCTCCTGGTGCTGCTTCCTCCGCCAAATGCCGTTAAAATTCTAGTGATTGGTTGAATTATTTTTGATGCTCTCATCAGGTGGTGTCAATCTGTCAGTGTGAACCAAGGATAATCCGAAGTCGCTGCGGGAGCAGCTGGCTGAGGACCACCCGAAGTTGTCGATGTGGTTGTTGAGCTGTGTGTGAAGTAGAATGACTGACCCACCTAGTCTGTTTCGTTCAGCATAAGTTCGTTGGGAGGCACTTGAGGGCCACATCAAGGTCCTCTTGAGGTGCTTCCTTTTTGATATTGTTTGAGTTCTTGTGTGCAGTTTTTGACGACCACCTCAGATAAGACCCAGCACAACACTGAACATTTTCTTCCGTGGCCTTTTTCGAGGCACCACCGTTCTCCTTTTCGTTCGATGCCGGTGCTTCAACATGTCCGATCCCGGCGTCCGTGGTCGCCCCATGTCCTCCGGGAGTGTGGACCGTGGACCCGTCGACACCGGAAGGGCGAGCCTCGAAGGGCGGGGTCCACGGCCCTGAGAGGAGACTTTCCTTCCTGCTTCAAAGATACAACCTGCTGGGAAGGCGCGGACGAACCGTTGCTAGTGCTAGAGAAGTTCTTTTGTTTTGTGTTAAAACGCCGGTACTTGTACGACTCATTAACTAATGTGGATACGGGTTGCAACCTCAGCCCACTGGTCCATATGAACCAAAGGTGAGTTGACCATCCTCCAAGACATTCCAAACGACCTGCAAGTTCCTGCGTTCTGAACTGACAGTTCATACGGACGGGTTGCCGTCCCATTCACCAAGCGTCCGAGTTCAACGGGAATGGCAAATCGTAAGACTTGCGAAGGACAAGAAATCTCCTACAATGACGTGCCAGCTTGGTTTGCGTGTCCAGATCAGGCATTCGTGAGTTCCCTGGGGCTAGCCAGTTGAAGAAACACGTGCAGTCTTAAAGAAATCCAAAGTTTCTCCTGATCAGCAGTTTCGGTCAAGCAATCTTTCATACAGCTTATTAGACACTTCGGGCTTTCAATGGATTTCATCGGATTTTTGGTTGGATGAGGTGGTTGCAGGGTGTTTTTTTCTATTTTGGGCTGGTCAGTTCGCGTCGGTCCTTTCGGTTCGTCTGGCACGGCGCTCCGCGGAGCGCGGCAGCCCATCACCTTCAGCCCCGCCGTGGACGTCTCGATCCCGCAGAGGCGGGCCACGGCGGCGCGATGCGGTTCCAGGGCGAGTTCGGTAGGCAATTTGGAAGTGTTGGAAGTGTGTAGGGAAATTGGGTGGACACGCAAGCTTTCAGGTTTCGATCCACGCTGGTTTTGATTGGATGGGATTGGATGGTATCCATTATCCATCCATACGGACTTGGCCTGGATGCATTTGCTCAGGTTCGGAATGCACTCTTGCTCAGGGTTTGTCCCGTGTTGTGACTGCCAATGATGTTTTTTCAGGCTTCATCGCTCAACATTTGTCCCTTCCCTCCTGTCAAGACATTCATTGTGAGTTTATTCCAGAAGACATCAGAAGACCGTCTTTGCCTTGGCAATTTGGCTCCAGGACGAGCGAGAGACGGGTGAGGCCTTCGAAGGGCTCAGGGACTTTTCCTCGCTCTGTGTCGGATCAGCTCAGATGGGGGGAGATGAGAGGAGCTTGCAGATTGCGTCAACACTGTGGTTGTCCTGCGATCACATGTGGACAAACGCTGTTGCTCCTTTAAGCATTTTAAACTTCAAACCATGTTCTCCACCCTAATAGCGATGGCCTCCAACCTATTAGCGATGGCCTCCACCCTAGTAGCGCTGTTGCTCCTTTTAAACTTCAAACCATGTTCTTGAAAGAATGGCCCAAGATCTGAGAAGCATGTCGCCCATTTCTTCGCCTCTCGGTTGCCTCAGGTCGCCGCCAGCGTCATTTGAAGCATGGCGATGAGGCATACTTTCAACTAATGTACCATAAAGATTGAATAGACACCGTAGTCCTGGAGACCCGGTCTGTGGATCCGTTCTTCCAACGTCAAATTGCAAGCGCTTTTTTGGTGCTTCGTTTGACCGGGTCTCTGGCCCTCTCCCGATGGGGAAGGCTTGTGTCAAGATGTTTTAGGGCTCCATCTGTGCATTCGTGGAAGGGCTGAAAAACATGTTGCTTGCTTTTCGTGCTTTCCTGCTTTTGAAAAGAAGAAAGCATGCGAGCATTAGGTAGACAGGACATACCTATTTTTATCTATTTTTGCTTCGTTTTCTGAAGAATGCAATGGACGCGGCCTTGGAATGCATTGAAACACCTGCCAATTTGCGGTGAAAAGGTGAAGTGGTCTCACCGCACGTTCAGCGTTGTTTCACGGTGCTTTGACGTATTCCTTCCAACGCGCAGATGCGCCGTTCGGGTTTTCCTTTGGGGGAGCTTGGAACGGACACATCGATGCCCATTGGAGGTTTCACTTCGACGGAGGTGTTTCGGTCGTTTTCGGTCCTCCAAAAAAACCGACATGAAGAAGCCTGGTGTGGAAGCCATGGTTCTGCTGAATCGAGCGATTGACAATCTCAGGTTCAGTTCGTAGATTGAATACCACCTGCCTGCTTGCTTCCAGCTTCGAGCTTTTATAGAAGTGGTTCAGGTAATTACATAGGATTCGAACAAATTCATGGCCTGCACATGCATCAAATTGCGAGTTTCCCATCCAGTTCAACTAACCCGTCCTTCAAACAAAAGGCTTTCTAGCAACAGACAGCTACCAGCTACACAAAAAGCTCCTGAACACCTGAAACGTGAAAGAACAAAGGGTGTTGAGTGAGTCACATGTCTACAAATCTGGTCTTCAAATTGACCGGGCTTTTGGTCGTTCTTGTTCGGACTCACTCGGGCGAAACGAGTCGGGGGGCGCCAACGAGAGACACTCCGGCGCCAACGAGTGGCTCGCCATGTTGCGGCTGACTGGGTTGTGGACTGGTGGGGGGGCTTGGAGCATGTGACGAGTCTGCCGGCACATCGGAGCGCATTGACATCGATGCCATTAGGGTCGGAATGGAAGAGAAGGTTGATCGACAACAGATCGAGAGGAAATGGACACTATGCTTCACACACCCACATGATAAACAGGCAAGAAAGTTGATGTTGCGTTTTGTTCTGCCAACTTTGGCCTCTGAACAGTTTCCTCAATGACCAGCTGAAGATGAAATCTTCAGGTCCTGGGCGACCAGCCGCTCGCAGTCTTCAGCGGGGAACCCAACAAATTCATCTGATGTTGGGTCTTGGGCGTCTCGCGCCTGGGAGCACATTGCACATAGAGAACTGCTAGGAACCTAACTCATCTTGCAACATTTGTTTGTGGGTGTTCGGAGCAAGAAGTGGTACTTCCTCACTGCAAAATTCAGTAGACACTTCGAACCCTTAGAATATGGAGGGTGTCACCAGCTAGCCAGATTCGAACCACTGTGGGTCAGAATTGAATTCGAAGCCACAGCGGGTTCCGCGAGTTCCAACGCGCTCGCGGGTTCCGCGCTCCGCTTCGCGAGGTCGCTGGGCTGTGCCGCTGTGACGCGGCGATGGCTGCCGCTGGCCGAGTGAGAAAGTGCGGTCGGTTTCGTCCCAGTCCAACCAAGGAAGTGGAACAACCAGGAGAACCCCCCAGTGTTCGTGCGGGGGAAAATGGTCTTCCAAGGAGCTCCTACTCTACATGGATTTCGCTTCCGTGGTTGTTGGAGGATTTGCCTTGAAGGAGGAAGGGGACCCCGACCTCCCAAACACTCCAGGAAGCATAGGAAGCGTTAATTTGAACACTCAATACTAGGCCTTACATGGCCTTACTACTACTAGGAACAAGTAGCTACTAGGAGCAAAGGGCATCGCTACTAGGAGCAAGGACGCTAGGGGCTGGCCTTACTACTAGGAACAAGAAGCTACTAGGAGCAAAGGCCATCGCTACTAGGAGCAAGGACGCTACTAGGGGCTGTCCTTACTACTAGGAACAAGAAGCTACTTGGAGCAAAGGGCATCGCAAAGAGGAGCAAGGACGCTACTAGGGGCTCCAGGCCTTACTACTAGGAACAAGAAGCTACGAGGAGCAAAGGGCATCGCTACTAGGAGCAAGGACGCTAGTAGGGGCTCCTGGCCATACTACTAGGAACAAGAAGCTACTAGGAGCAAAGGCCATCGCTACTAGGAGCAGGGACGCTACTAGGCTCCTGGCCTTACTATTAGGAACAAGAAGCTACTAGGAGCAAAGGGCATCGCTACTAGGAGCAAGGACGCTACTAGGGGCTGGCCTTACTACTAGGAACAAGAAGCTACTTGGTTCTTTTTCGTTGTCTCCTGCAACCAATGCGCTCGACATCTGGACATGCTTAGGCGCGAACGGGCCAGGCCATCGCGTGCCAGTGAGAAGGTGCGGCGTTTCTAGAACTGAAGACACCAAAGAATCATAAAGAACCTGGCTTTGTTCCGCAGGATTTTTGCAAGGTTCAGGATTTCACCGAATCTTGCTGGACATCGAGAATACAGTGCAGTATATCGTTTTGTAAAGTTTTTCCCCTGATAGCGAAGCTATGGGGTTCTTACTTTAAATAACACTGAGCTGCCTGTGCGCGCTTTCGAGACAGGTTGCCGGTGCTGGTGCTGGTGCTGTGAGCTGGCTGTGCACGTGGTGGAGACAGGTTGCTGGTGCTGGTGCTGGGTGCCGGGTGCTGGTGCTGGCTGTGCAGTGGTGGAGACAGGTTGCTGGTGCTGGTGCCGGGGTGCCGGTGCTGGTGCTGTGCTGTGAGCTGGCTGTGCACGTGGTGGAGACAGGTTGCTGCTGGTGCCGGGTTCCGGTGCTGGTGCCGGGTGCCGGTGCTGGTGCTGGTGCTGTGAGCTGGCTGAGCGCGCGTTTAAGACGGGCGGCGCTGGTCGGGTGCTGGTGACGCTGCCGGTGTTGTCAGCTGGCAAAGCGCACCGGTGCTGGTGTCAGCTGATTGTGCGCGCTGAGGAGGTGCCGTAAGCTGGCTGTGCAGGCTGCATACATTCTTGTTCCAGCCAGTCGCATGTCAACAGGTCGTGGGATTCTGCCTAGCTATCTGGGTCTATGCTGGTGTAATGTATATATGTATGTGTATATATATATATATTTATGGATTTTGGTCTTTGAACATTTTGACTCTGTGCCAAGAAGATGTTTAACTCTTTGATGGGCTGTTTGGAGTGAGCAGGAGGTATGCACGTTCATGGATTGAGGACACACAAAATTGCGCGGAGGACCCTTCGCTTTTTTTGCGAGCTTGTTGACCACCTCATGAAGCTGTTCATGTTTGGAGGTCCAACTCGACGCATGGCAATGCATGGTCAGATTTCCATATTGGACCCGGGGCGCGAATATGGATACATGCACAATACACCAATAACCCCCCTCGGTGTAGGTCTACCAGGCCAATCCGCATCTGGATGGTTGACTATTCTCTTCGGCAAATATCAGGATAGGATGTGGGATTGGTGACAATAATAGGAAAGGCAAGGCAAATCAGCAGGTAGATGGACCAAATCGCTTTTGTTCCCCAGATAGCGAAGCTATGGGGTTCTTACTTCAAATAACACTGAGCTGCCTGTGCGCGCTTTCGAGACAGGTTGCCGGTGCTGGTGCTGGTGCTGTGAGCTCGCTGTGCACGTGGTGGAGACCAGGTGCCGGTGCTGTGTGCTGTGAGCTGGCGGCTGTGCATCTGACAGGGTGGCGGGCGCCGGCGCTGTGAGCTGGGTGCCGGGTGCCGGTGCTGGTGCTGCTGGCTGCGCATGTGGGGAGCCATGGTGGTGCTGGGTGCCGGGCGCCGGTGCTGGTGCTGGTGCTGTGAGCTGGCTGCACGCGTGGTGGAGGGTGCCGGTGCTGGGCGCTGGTGCCCGCTTCTGACAGTGAAGTGATAACAACCGCCGCTTCTGACAGTGAAGGGTGACAAACCGCCGCTTGTAGCAGTGAAGGTCGGGCGACCAACAGCCGAAGTGCCAGCAGTGATGGGCCACATGAACTTATGCACGCAACATCATACGGTGTTGTCGCTTGAGCGTTCTTTGTCTATCAGCGCTGTGGGGTGTTTACACTCTTCAGGTTCTGTTTTGGCCGACAGCTGTGTCAAGCGCTGTACTGTTTGCGCGCATACTTTTGCACGTATAGTGTTCTATGCGCAACGTCAGGCTCTCAACCGACGATTTGTTTCAGCATGTTTCAGCATGCTACACGCACACAATAGTCGTGCTGGATACTGCTTGGCCTTGGGCGAGTGAAGCCTACGGGCTTTGCCGTTTGTGCGCATACTTTTGTGCACATAAACTTATACGCGCAAGATCATACGGCCTTATCGTTCTGCAGATCGTTGCTTCAAGCATGCTACAAAGTCAATAGTGGCGCTGGATACTGCTTGGCCTTGGGCCAATGACACTTACAGGCTTTGCTGTTTGCGCGCATACTTTTGTGCGCATAAACTTATACGCGCAAGATCATACGTCGTTATTCCCAAATAGGGGTAGCTATGGGGCTCTTATTGCAAATAAGTATGAGCTGGCTGCGCGCGCTTTCCAAAGTGTGTCGGTGCCGGTGCTGGTGTTGTGGTCGTGGGTGCTGGTGCTGTGAGCTGGCTGAGCGCGCGTTTAAGACGGGCGGCGGTGCTGGTCCGGCGCTGGTGCCGCTGCCGGTGTTGTGAGCTGGCAAAGCGCACCGGTGCTGGTGTCAGCTGGTTGCGCGCGCTGTGGAGGTGCCGTAAGCTGCCTGTGCAGGCTGCATACATTCTTGTTCCAGCCAGTCGCATGTCAACAGGTCGTGGGATTCTGCCTAGCTATCTGGGTCTATGCTGCTATGCTAGTTATTTTTGTTCTATATTTGGAGAAAGCTACAAATATTGAAGCATGGTCCACAAGGTCTTTCAACTGCGGTCCAAATCAATAGGGGTACGGTATCGGGGTAAGTTTGTTAATGTTTCGCTTCCATTAATTTATGGGGGGAGCTGTACAAAGCGCCCTTGCAACAAGCGAAGACTTTGCACCGTTTTTTCGAGAAGATGTTATTTACAAATCGCCAGGTCTTTACAGTGGAAAGCCCGGCCGGCAAGCTGCTTGGAAGGTCTCAGCTCGCTCGGTCGTTGCATGAGTAGGAGGGTGTTCCGGCTAGGTTTCGGAGCGCAGGAGGTCGGGCCTTGTGGTGGAGCCGGGTGCGGGGTGCAGGACGGAAGGTCCATGGAGACTTCCTTTCAGCATGGCTCCAAGTGGGAAAATGCTATGAAATTGATGGAGATGAATGGCATTCTTATTCTGGAGAGGCGCTTCCTTCTGGGGCAGGGTTGGTCAACACCTGGAGTTTTGAACGACCTGTTCATCACTTGGGACTGGGACTTTGGCGGCCACGGTCAACTCAGGAACTGGCCCCCTATGGATCAGGCGGGCTCGGCAAAACCTGGTGCATTTTATTGCTCAAGACATTCCTGGCCAAGGGATATGGTGTGATATTTTGTTTCTGCCTCTTACAATCTCTTACCTTCTCTTTACCTATGGGTGCTTTGCCTTTTGCCCAGCGGTTTTGCATTTCACGGATGGGATGAGTGTGTGCATGTCTATGTAGTTTTTGATAACAGCCACTTGGTATTTGCAGCGTGTTGCGCGCGCAACACACCCTTGAAAATCCCACTCAGGGTCTCCTAGTTCCTCTCCTTTTCTATTTGGGTACTTGAACATTGCTCGATTCGGTGTGCTCACCCATTCATGGGATCTCACAATTTCCTCGCACCGACCTGGATCGGATCGCCGGGCGCTGCGCGGGCGTTCCGCCGGGGGCTTCGCGCATGCCGCCTGAGGTGGGAAATCCCATGACGCCTGAGCGGTGTCGGGAGATCATGCACCACCTGCATTTGCAGGAGCTGGTATGGTCCTATGGCCGAGATGGCCCTAAAGTTTAATGATGTTTAATGTCTTGGATTTATAAGGGGCGGTGCCAATTGGGGAACGGGTTCGCTTTGGAACGGGGAATTAGGATCGTTTGGAGATTAGGATCGGTTTGGAAGGCGTGTCTCTTATACCTGTTCTTTCTCTTGTTCTTGTGTGGCTTCTATGTTTTTGTTTTTTGTTGCTCATGTTTATGGTTGTCTTGGTCCTGGTAGTTTGAGTCTATTTATGTATTGTTTGCAATTTCTTTCCTATTGTTCTTGTGATGTGCGGTTTCTGTTGTTTTTCCTGTGTTACTCATGCTGTGTGTTTTGTTTTTCTTCTCTTGGCAGTCTGAGTTGTTGCTTTTCAGTTTGTTTTTCTCTTGTACGCAATATTATATACGTGTTTTTTTGCTTGTGTTAGTCAATGTTTTTTTGTTCTTTGTCTCGCTTGATAGTGTGGGTTGTCTTTTTCAGCGTCTTTTTTTGCTCTTGTGATCCGATCTCAAACTCTGATCAACTTGGGATTGTCTTTGGCCATAGCCACGGTCGTTAGGCGCTGCCTCGTGCGTCCGGCAACTGAGAGACTTCCGAATGCTTCTCTGATACTGTTTGCAGATGTTTGCGGAAGACAACATTTCTCAGCATCAAGCATGTCGTTCCATACAGGTTTTGCAGCTCAAAGGGCAGGCTCTGCGCTCTATTCAGGAGAAGTTCGTCAAACCACAGCTTGGCATGGTCGCACATGTCGACGCCCAGGTCCAAGCATGTGAGGCACCTGTACAAGATCTTGACAGACAGTGAGCGGAACACCTTCACGGAGTTGTGTGCGTATCCTGAAAGGAACAGAAGGCTCTCTACACAGCGGCTCTCTACACAGCCTAAAGAGGCCCAAAGGGAGGCCGATGGTTATGTGCAACAAGCAAGCTATGTTGCCAGCTTCAAGCGGCCAAGGGTTTGGACACAACACTCAAGTCACCAATCCCTGCCAGAGAAGCCTTCTACAGAGCCGGATCAATGTGGAATCGCGAGATGTAGATCCGGACAAATGCCCCATGTCAGAGGAGCCGGTCAAGCCCACTGGCAATCCCATGCCAATTCTGGAACGTGACAGTGGACGAAGGCCAGTGAGAACAGGAACTCTGGGGACTCGGGCATGTGTTCTTGAAGAACTGGACCAGCTTAAGGTTGGCTTCGCCTCCCTATGTGTGCGAGCGCGAGCACGTGGCGCCTTCAGCAGATTGCAGTGTGTCACTGAGGGTCTTGCCATTATCATAATCCAACCGCAAACTTGGGTGTAAGTCCACTATTCCCACTGTCCACAGCTTCCTGAGCTGTCAACTGTCACCTCCGCCAGCGTGAGCAGGTAGGGGCCATCAGAGTCACTCTCGCAGGATGGAGATGAACGCTTGTCCATCGGCCATGAACAAAGCGACTGTTCATTGTTCATGCAATCAATTCCCATGGGTTACAATTTATATGATGCTACGTTCTACTGAGCATGCAGCCCCAGGGCTTTACCATGGGTTTTGATTTTGCGCATGTAATTCGTTCTCTGGGCATGTTGTTTCTCAGATCTTCGTAGCGTAGTCACAGTGAAAAGATCTACCTTCAACCTTAGCCCAGCTGAGGCTTGGAGAGGTTGCAGTGAACATGACGGGCCAAAGTGCCTGGGGAGCAACAACGAAGAACAATGTGACAATGAGTGTTCGGACGGTTTTCAATGAGGTGAAGCCATGGTGATAATATATTAGTATATATATATATATTATATATGTAGTCAAGATGTCATACGTCAGCAAAGATGCTCGTGAAGATGTGATCAGTTGCAGGAATGTAGGGCTCATGTCTTTTGTTTGTTAGTCTTGCTGTGTGTGCGCGTGTTCTTTCTACATCTCTTCTTGTTCATGTAATGTGTGTTGTTTTTTGGGTTGCTTTCCCCGGACAGAAAGGGTATCTATATTAGAGTGCATGTGGCTGGTGGGCCGCGAAATTGAAAGCCTGGGAGAAAGGCGCAAGACATACCTTTTGTGACCACAAGACAGACACCTAGAGAACAAGAACGAACCGCTCTTATCTGGAGCACGCCTTTTGTTGGCCAGCGTGATAGTGCTTACACAAGCTATGATATTCCCAGGGGCAAACAATTAAGATTAGGAAAACAAATTCCATCTTTGAGCGCGCCTTTGGTGGGCCACCCGAGGATGAGATTTAGAGCAGGAAGGCACCATCCCAACTTGGCATGCCTTTATTGGGCCACACGAAGGTAAACTGTTGAACAGGCAGGAGTGTGTCCATATCTTATTCCAATGTACCGCACCTTAGACCAGGAAGACGCAATTTACAAAAATGGGTCCGTTTTCCTTTTTCACTGCGCCACGGAAGTTGACTTTTAAGAGTGACGCCCCTGTCCCAGTGTTTGTGTTCCAAAATTATCCTAATCACATGTTCCAAAAAGATCCTTCTGGCCGTGCTAATTGTTGCGTATGGCAATCACGTGCAGATGAGAAAACTGCAAGTGCCAGATGTGAATGCTTCGAAGGTCTGATGAAATGAAGGGTCGGAGTCTCCAGACCGGTGTCCCCGCCACTCAATGTCGAGGAGATCGAAAAAATGAAGCAGCAACGCTCCTTCACCATGCCCAGCGTGAGGCGTGACACATGCAATAGCCATCCGAATTTTTCGGGGTTTGGTCCGATGGAAGTTGATGATTTGCATGGAGTGCTCATGTATGAAAGGGAATCGGGCGCAACCATGCTGGACCTGGCAACTTCAATTTGTTTGAATATTCGTAGTTTCACACTCATAAAATCATAGTCATTGAGTATGAAGTGAAGATGCGAACACGCTTCAGCACAAACCAGTTCATCCATGCTCATGCAACAAGTCGGCTGCAACTTTCTGAGCCATTTGGGTCGATTGAGGCCTGGTGATCTAGTGGAGGTGAAGTACGAGCTGAGCCGTATTTGGGCCGCAAAACCAGCTTTGCCAGCTCTGGACGGGCGTTGGGAGCTTTGAAGGTCGCAACGTGGGTCCTGGAAGGAAGTACCCTTAACAATACAATGTAGAAAAGTCCGAAAGAACGTTTGTTGAACCCATTCCAAGCTCTTTACAGCATCCTCTATCCGTTGGGCGCTGGGGCCTACGGTTTTAAAAATTCCTGCCGTACCGCCCTGTGAAGCAAGCAGCAGTATGGCAGGGTCTTCAGCTAAAGTCACCTTGAGCCGATCTTAGGTAGTCAGCAGACCTTTGCGGTGTTTCAGGGTCCGGAACCCAGACAAAAGTAAGAAGAAACTCTGTGCGTCAACAGAATGATGCAAGGCTTCTGCGTGAGTGTTCGCAACAAGTACCTGAACTCTGGCTTTGCGCGGCTCCCAGATTGAAGTCCTTTCAACAGTTCAAGGTCAATGGTGGATGATCTCCCCTCACCAAGATATATGGGCATTCTTGCAAAACCAGAGACAAATCAAAACTTATGTTCTGTTCGTGGCCAAGCTCGGTTGCCGGAGGTCCTGAAAAACACCTACGATGGTGTTGGTGTGGAGCAGCTGGTGCCCAAATACTCGCCTCTTGGACCTGTAGACTGTGGAGACCACGAGTTGGGCCATCGAACGATAATGTGAGCAAGAGTTCAGACTGGAGCAATCGTGAGATATACAAGAAGCTACTAGGAACAGGTGCCACGCTAGTAGTAACAAGTGCCTTACTAGTAGTAACAAGAAGCTACTAGGAACAGTGTCCAAGAGTGTCCGGCGTTTTGTTCGACCCCGACCTTGGAGAGACTCTCTCATGCTTCCTGTCACACTTCGACTGTCTCTCCGGCAATAGTAGACACGATCTCACACCAACAAATTATCAAATTGAACAAGTGACGGGCTGGACTTTTTAAACCTACCAACCTTTTTCCCTAACCCAAACCTTGTTTTTAACCCGCACATCCGCTATTTTAAACCCTGGGTTACAAAAAAGTGTCGCTTCATAAAACTCTGTTAAACTAACTAACCATTGTTAAACTATTGTTTATTTTTCTTCACCACTGAACTATGCTTTGTGAACCCTGGAACTCATTTCTTAACCCAAGCGTCCTCTATTTTAACACCATTACACTCTTTTGTAACCACAGGTGCGACCAAGGGATACCAGGGGCTCCAAATCCAAACGCACTCTTGTACCAGAAGAATCTTCATCCTTTTACAGTCGATGTGTAGACAGGTTTACATCCAGTTTCACATTCAAATGTGTGGATGTAGGTCATGTCCTCGAAGGTCGGACAATGTTTATGCCGGATCCGTTTGCAGGAAACGATGTAAAACGTCATGTGGATTCAGGTCATACCCCTGAAGCGGTCTGACACTTGATATCTATAGGCTTATGTGCGTATTTGTAATGATGAGACCGGAGAACCCCGTATGTTAAAGCTTTCTGCAAAACCAACACGACAGTTTAAATGCAAGGGCAATAGACCAGCAAAAAGACGATATGACAGGGTGGTCCCAAAGCGCAGGCGGAAATGGCAGAAGGTAACGATGATGATGATGACGATGAAAACAGCCATGATGTTGATGGTGACAATATTATTGATGATGACCACAATGGTGTAATATAACGCCAAGATACAGTAGATGTGATCAATAATCTCAAGATATACCTGTGGGGCCTGTTCCCGCTGACCAGCCGCACGCCGCGTTTACACCAGTGTATTTCTCTTTTCTCAATGGCACGGACTCACGCAAGCGCGCATTCCACCGAGGCCGCGCAAAACCGAATGACACACGACGTCGCAGATGTAAGATCCCCACACAATGTGCCACAGACTAGATACAACAATGCTTTGAGTGGCGAAAGCTCTTACTAGGGCGTCTGAAAACAATCCGAGACTGCCCGGCGTACCAGCGAAAATTCCGGGCAACTGGTGCTGGGGGACGTGATTCCGCTCCCTGGGTTTTTCACTACTTGGAGAGGCCAAAGCTCCTGACAGAGCCCCCCGCAAACCATCCGACACATACCCGGCATTGGTCACACCAAAGCCATCCCTGTAGCAACTTCCTCTTAAAATTGGAGCATCTAGGTGCTCGGTGAAGCTACTTTTTTATACAGCTACATGGTGCCTGGATAGCTACTGGAGGTTGGGTGCTTCAATTTTATAGAGATGTTGGGGTCTCTAATTCTATAGAGATGGTAAATCTAGAGTCACTGGAGAAATGGGTTGTTAGGTGTTCCAATTCTTTTGAAAGACACAATAGATATGTTCAGGTTGGGTGTTCTGATTCTGTAGAGAGTCATGTTGTGAATGGTTGTGTCCTTTGCCGCTTGGGTGCTTTGATTTTATAGAGAGATCACATTTACATGATTTCTGCATTTGGAGTTTGCTTTAGGGGTGCGTGTAACAGTCAGGAAAAGATCTAGGAATAGTTTTGTCGAATGCTCATCAGGAATAATTTGCTTGGGGTCCCTGTGCCAGGGGGTGGGGGTCACCTAGGAACCATCGTTGCCACTAACCTCGATATTAAGGAATAGTTAGAAAAGGAATGAAAAGGAGATGTGCCAGTCTTAGCGGCTTGGAATGGCTTACATACTGGCTTGGATTTCTTTCCCTGCGCTCTAAGACCTGTACTCTAAGAGTCACCAAGGTGGATGTTTATGGAAATCCAGCGGTTGGGATGGCTTGGGAACCAGCTCATGAGGGAAAGACCCTGTGCGCTTCAATTCTACACGGATTTGGTGTTTTGACAACTAAATGGCAAATTCTATAGAGGTTGTTTTTGGGTGCAGGGGGGTCACTCAGGGTGATTCTAGGCAGAAGCTGGCAGGCCAACTGAACCTTTATACAAACTGTAATTGAAGTGAATTGAATATTTAGTTGGAACATCATTATCCCGAACTTAAGCACCTAGGGCCATTTTTTTTCATGACTGGCAGATTCCAAAGGTTTGTTATCACAAAACTAAGCACAACAAGAAACAGCAGAGAGAAACACACATTTGCAAGAACCCTGCCCTACAAGATAGGACGCTTATAGAAATGGAGCCGGTGGCATTGCAAAGAGGTGACATGTTCACTCTGTTAAATTGAAGAACCACCACCAAGAAAAACCAGGCCTGAAGTGTTAAGGGCCAGGACAGCAAAATGCAGATGTTGTGGCACCCAATTCTATAGAGGCCATTTCAATCTCTGACCTGTTCATCGCTATCTTGGGTTCCCCGTTTCTATAGGCAAAGCAGGCCCAGAGTGAGACAGGTTTAAGTTTGCTTGTCCTGGGCTAGAAAAACTGGATTCAACACCAGGTTGCAAGGTCAAAAAAGACAGGTTCCAGGGTTAAAACAAACATTAGTGGTAACAACGGGTTGCACAAGAGTGATGCTATTTCCTTCTTCATGAAAGCAAGTGCAGAATGACATCATGTTGGACCCCCTTCCCATCATCCAACGGGTTCCCATATCTACCGCTGAAACACAACAACCAACGGCTTCCCCATTTGGGTGGACGGCGTGTGGCAGGGAATCGAACGTCGCGTCGTGCCACCGAGGCCACGGGTCTTGGGCGTCCGGGTGATCCAGCCTCTTCAACCCAGGCAGCATTTTCTTTTCGGTTGCCTTTATTTTCTGTTTTTGTATTTGATCCTGGGGTAAGTGATTTCTGTCTGTAGATGATGGTTCGTTTGTTTTTCTGGTTTTGGACTATTTTTGGTGTGACGAGTCGTGCCTGTGACGAGATTGGATGAATGACTGTCACTTGGGCGCCTGTGCAAGAGGAGGAAAAAATGGATAACACCGATAAACCATAACTTATATAGTTTGAACTGGGGGATCTCGACAGAAATTGATTTGTGGTTTGCCTTTCCAGCAACTGGTCAACGATGCTGCTCAGGACGCCGAACGTTGATACGCGGCCCTGGACTCGCAACTATCGTTGAGTGCTCAGATGCGATGATCCGAACCTCCGGTTATTTGCACCATGAGTTGTTTATTGATAGGTATCTGATAAGAATCTAAACTTAACTGCTTGACAGTGTGTGTTTGAACATTACAGCTCCAATCTCAATGTTTGTCCAAGGATTCTCGATTTCTACCTATATAGTCCTATATACTTACTTGCTTACGAACTTATTTACAATGGCTTACCTTCACTCACCTTCACTTTACTTCACTTACCTACCTGCGTACACTCCTGCGTACTTACATTCTTACTTGATTCTATACTTACTTGAGGATGCCTACAGTCCCATCAACTCTGTTCTGAAGAGAACTGCCCTTTTCATTAGATGGACTTGGGACGGTCTTTGAAAGCAGTTGACAATTGATTGATCTTTGACATGTGCTACTGTCTCTTCGAGGCTATCGCTGGCATTACTTTGTCCGTGTGGATCTCAGGTGCTCAGCAGGCGCTCAGGGGCTGTGCACGTCCGGTGGTCCGATTGGCTCAGCTGGCCTGTGTGCCGATGGGCTGAGGTGGCAAGTACTCCTGGGGCAAACGATTGCGCTGGAGGTTCCACACACCTCAGTTGCCTGGAATCATGCTGGCACCTCAGTTGGTGAAGGCTGCCAAAGTGGCTCTTGATCACATCAGGAATCCTCTGCTTGATGGTCCTTTGCAGGTTCAAGATACAGTAGTGGTAAAGTTTCGGCTCCGGTGCGAAGTGGTCGAGATATCTTTGATCTTTTCAAGATCTCCGTGATGAATGGGGATTATATACTCAATGCCTCCCCAACGCATTCAGCTCATCAACACTTCACCCTCCCACACCTTTGAGCTGCCAGACAGATTGATGGCTCGAAGCAGCTAGGCATACAGTGATCTCCTGAAGGGGTCATGGCCACAAGCTACTGTCGCACGCTTCTATGGTCATGGTTCTTTCGGGGGAAAGCGTGAAAATTGTGTCCATCAAATCGCTAGATTCTAGCTTGGGGTTGTTAGCATAGCTTCCTGGGCAATACCCAAGGAATGCTAGGCCTCTAAGTAGGCGAAGTCATATTTTGCTGATTGGGATCTATAGGTTGAACTGGGAGATGGGCGGTCACTCACCAAGCCTCTATTTGCATCCATTTGCGAACGGCGAATACCTCCTAACCAGAATATCAATTCATCATCGAAACTTCGACATCACAAAAATTGACGTGGATGGCACCAGACCCCTTGGAAGACCGTTGTTTGTTTCTCTCTCTCTCTCTCTAATATACAAACAGATACAAACAGGTGCTTTTCCACTTTCATGGAGCATGAGTCAGAGCGTATGCTGCATGAAGGCCGTTTCCAAAAATCTTGGGTCGTTTGTGCACCAAGGTCCCTGGAGCCCAAAATCCGACGGGAGTTGGCGAACCTGCGGCACCGCTACCAGATGCAACGTGCAGAGGCAGACTGGGGACGTGCACCAGGGCGCCTGAGCAGGCTGCAGGAGGATCTGTTCCGGAAAATGAGTGGGCAGGAGGATCGGTCACATTTTGGAGTAGGTCCTGTCTTGCCCAACAATCTACATGTAGAAAAGATCGGAAAAGATGAGCACTTCTGTTTGGGGTCAGGCTGGGCCGCGATCAGTTGTGACATATTATGACCCAAGGTGCCAATCTCTGTTTTTTTTTTCCCATGTTTGGGACTCTGAGTCTATCTCTGCAAAGTGAGGCGATATCCCAAACTGCGCAAACACGAGGTTTTCGCAGGCGTTTCGGGCCTTGTGGGCGGTGTCGGAGGCAAAGCTGCCGCCCTACATCTTCCCAGGGCCCTACCACATCACTCGGCGCCAGACGCGGGTCATCTCCGCCGAGCGCTACCGACACTCGAACAAGAATGGGACTGGGGGTGGTTGAGGTCGGACACACGTTGAATGTGACAGGTGGGGCTGAGATGGGCTGAGGGTTTGTTTCGATGTGGCATGTCGCGGCTGACCGTGGACTGGTCTTGGCTCCAGTCGAAACCATTGCAACACACGGCGTTACGTTTGTTTGTAAATCTTTCAGCGCAGGGTTCCGGATGTCGCGTGCTCCAGTCTTTGGTCACGTTCAGATGAAGGCAATCTTTTTCTTGTTGCTCTTGGCAGGTCACGATTGTGTCCGAGTGACGGAAGAAGTTCAGTGGTCCAAGTCCAAATGGGCTCAGCTGCATGCGGACTGCAAGTATTCTTTCACGGAAGGTTGTGCCGGTGAGGGATGTGTGCGGAAACGCTTGCCTTTGGACTTGACTCCATCAGTGAGTTGTCGGCACACAGATGCTTACCTCTTGAAGCATAATGGCCTGAAGAATTTTCAGACCATCGTGGAGCACTTGGAGGAGAAGAGTGACAAGTATGCCAAGTCATGCCAACAAGCCAGTTGGTTGCACCTTGAACGTTGCTAGTTGGAGGCTTTCGATTTTTCTTGTACCCTTTGTTCATCGACCTTTTCGGGAATCGACACAGGGATTTTTTCAATGAGTGAGCTCTTGCAGCTATTCCAGCTGCTGGGAGTTCTGCTGAGTCCCTCCTTTGGGTATTCACCATCAGTTCATCATGATATAGACGCATTTTCATGCTGTGCGCCAAGTGGATTTTTCTTAGGCATGTCACACACATGACTTTTTGTTGGAATTGGTTGCGGTCCGAACGTTTGCTGTGATGATGTGATGTTGTGGAGTGCAGTAATTGGTGATTTATCCAATGCTGTGGTCAAGTGGTGTGCGGTGATTCGCATCACCACATATTTTTTAAAGATATATCTAGTGACGATGTGATGTGATGTGATGTGATGTGACGTGTGATACGTGATATATGGTGATGTGGTTAAGTAATTTATTAGTTAAATTTACTCGATGCAGTGCAGTGTGGTTGCTTGAGAGGTGAAGTGGATGATATGCTTGGTGGTGAGTGGTGAGTGGTGATTTGGAGTGGTCTCTACTCACTGCTCTTCTCTAGAATCTACAGTTACACACCTCTATATACTCAGACTCAGACTCTTCTTGTCGATTCATTCTCTTGAAGCCTCTCTGCGCCACAGTACCGCAAGGTACTTCTCTCCGGTTGGACCTTGACATCTCTACATGCTCTCTACTTACGAACCTCTCATGTTCTCGCAAATGACATGTCGACCGCCAACCACGGCGCGAGACTCCCTGCTAAACGAAACACCTCTCACCTGCTGTGTGAGACCTCGGAACGGCACACGGGTTCTCGCTGTCCAAGGAATCGAAAGTGCAAGCGCCGCGAAGCACAGATGTTCAATGCCGTCAAGTTCATTGCACGGGCTCCGCTCGACCAGAACTTCATGTCCCAGCTCGATGAACACGAACGAGCTGTGGTGAGTGCCGCCGGCACACAAAGCATGATAAACGTTTTTTGTCGGAGGACGCTTTGTGCTGCAGATTGTTTGACCAGTGAAGATTCCAGTTCCATGCTATTTTGTCCTTCCTATTGGTGCGTTGTTGCAGCTTGAGGCCTATACAGTAGCTTCCCCCAGCTTCTGTGTTGCTCTGACTCCACGTCAAAGTCCACCTTTCCCTTCCCCAATTATCACGAAAGCTAGCATCAGCTAGCTGGAGTTGCTCTTGCTTTAGCAAGTCAAGGGCTCGCAGCCTCGAGAATCATGAATCACGTGAAAACTTCACGTGTAGGGGGGGGGCCCCCCCCCACCCCCCCCGCGGGTTCAACTCCCCCCTGGGACGCTTCCGGTACGTGCTATAGTGCTATGTTTAGGTGGCAGGTGAAGTAGGCCACTGTTTGAGTTTGGAAGGGGGGGCATGAAACATGAAATTTACGCGAGGGTTCAAGGCTTCAATGATGAGCATCACGGGAAGTCAGAAACCAGGCGTATCAGATACACGTGCCTTTGAGCTTCCTTCGGCATCTCAGTGCATATGGCTGACACTTCACTCGACAAAGATGCTCAAACAAACATACATAAGCCAGGTGTATCTGATACGCCTGGTTTGTGACTTCCCGTGATGCTCATGATGCTGCGTTGCTTTTCTTCAGTCCCTCATTACATATACATGACGATCCAACAGCAGATTCAACAAGCTCACATGTTCATGACATCGACATCGATAGAAGAAACCAAACAAATCATGCAAGCAGCTTTGTTTTGCCTCTGGGACACCTCTTGGGCACCTCTTATGGCATCCACACTGGTTCAACTCCTCCGTGGAGGTTTTGGGATACAGCGCAACAGATTCAACAAGCTCACAGGTTCGTGAACACATCGGATGCATCGAACAGTGTGGCAAAGTCCAGCCACGCTTCCTTAATTATCGGGGACTTCAATTCTAAGGTTGGCTGTGTCATTGCTGTTTGTGTGTCTTACATGTTCACAACCTCATGAGCATTTGCCTCACTCCGCTTGATGTCCCACCAGTCCGGATGCACCCCTGCTAGCTTTCGTCACCTACCCTCGGCCTCAAGTTGTGTTCTCGTTTTTTTGAATAACATTTCTGTAAATGTTGGAGTGCAAAGCTGGTTCATCACCCAAGCCATATGAGCAACTGCCAAAACCTCCGATAAAGGCAGCATCAAGGTTTCACAGAAACAAAACGATAAGGTTTTAGTACAAGTTGTTAGGTGTGTCCCAACCCTCAGGAACGATAAGGTTTACAGAAGAAGTGATAACGTTGGGAAGAGTTGGCACTGCAACGCATAAGAGGTTTTGCAGGTCGCTCATATGTCACAGTAGTTGTACAGTTAAATCATGTTAGTGACGTTTTTGTGCTATGTATAGTCTAATGTATTGTATAGTCATGAGTCATAGTATTTCTTGCAAAATCACAGCCCGCGCGAGGTGATGCTTTCACAAAGACTTTGAAGAGTCTTGCTTCTTCAGAGGAGGAAGGCCAGCAGATCGATGAGCTGTTGCGGAAGATGAAAGGTCACACGCCAGAGCTCTTGCAAGATCCACAGGGGACAACGGCGAAAGTGGTTGGGTTGATGCTCAAGTTGGTGCAAGGCTCGCCCGAAGAGTGGCTTGGACATCTCGTGAAGCAAATGCATTGTTTTCTGTGCTTGAAATGACGTGCTTGAACCAGACTCGTCTCTTCAACAGTCTTCTGTCACCTCAAATGCCTCTGAACGAATCAATCTCAATAGTTGGGGGATCAATGAGACAGACCCATCCATTCAGTTTTGCATGTTCCTGAGTGCTGCACAGGAAAGAAACCGCCCGCAAAGAAATCTCCGCGATGCCCGAGACCGTTCCGGCACTTTCAGCAGAAGATGAGGCCAAGGCAAAGGAAAAAATTCAGGACATGGAAAAGGAATTCGAGGAACATCGAGGTTTCTTGGTTGAGTTTCAGAGTGAGGATGTGCTCATCTACCCAGCAGCACAGTTGCTGGTATTTGCAGGCGTTTGCCAAACCCTTTGCAACACACAAATAATAATGCTCCGCACTGTTGATTTCCCATATCATGGTATTGTTGAGGGTGACTGACTGTATTTATTTCCGAGTGGTTTCATATATATATATATTATATATATATATGTGATTATATGTGTGCTGTATATATGCACATATAGGAATTTACTTGTTAAACCTTTACTTCAGATTATTGATTCCACTGAGGGAAAGTTTTGTTCAAGTGAGTTGAAACCACCAATCAGATCTGTCCTTTTTAGGTGTTGTGGTGTCCACTTCTGATCCCAGGAGAGATGGAGCTGGCAATGGACCAGGTGGACACAAAGACCAACGAGGCTGTCGAGGAAGAGGCACTTGAAGAAAATGACGCTGGTTCTGCATTGCTGACCATTCCAGAAGATAACAATGCTTCTGCAACTACACGCTCATTTAAGGTGCCTATCATCCAGGCTGTGATTAGTACAGCAGTTGCCACCATCCTTATCGCTGCTGCGGTCTCAACATTTCCCGTCGTCGGTGCACTGCTCTTATATCTGACGTTTGGTCTCGCGTACTGCTCGTTGGATGATAATTTGAATGAGACAAATGACCTGATCAAGTGCATGGGCCACATCATTTTGGCACCTCTTACGGCGGTCAAGTTCCTCGCCAAGGGCCTTTGGCGCATCACCAAAAAGACGTACCGCTTGATCCGTGGGAAGAAGAAGACCAGCGATCCGTCTGAGGTGGCAGTTGAGAGTGATGTCGACCCGACGGCATTGCCTTCTTGAGGAGTTTGGCCGGCGGCTGAGCAGGCTCTTCTTAGAGCGAATATCCCTGCTGAAAAAGTCCACCTTCGCGATCATGAATCGGGAGTTCCGGACTTGATTCCAATCAATACAACAGGTATTGTAGTATTATAGACTCTTGATTGTATGTCAGCCCCCATAACGAGGTTTTACAATCCGCGTTGTTGCCGTCTACTTTTTAAAACATGAGTCAAGAGTCCACATCATATACGTAGGCAAAACTGAAACCGGAGAGGAAGCCAGCAAATGCAGACTTGCTTCATGGGCAGGCATTGTTAAGAATGGTGCACAAGCTTGGAATCGATGACCATGAAATGATATTGATTTTGAAGGTCAGAACCTTCCAAACGGCAATGGGGAGTGGAGGTGGACAAGACAAGTCTAGCCATTATACATGATGCATCATGTTTATATAAGCAACCATTTTTTAAACATTTAGGCTTTACTAAAGTGCTCTACGGCATTCTATTTTTGCTTGTCTATCACCAGTATTCGCTTGTGAACGAGATAGGGCCCCACATAAACGAGAGACTTTTGCCTGATGACACTAATGTAGTCTGAACGAGCGGAACAAGGACGCTACTAGGGGCTCCTGGCCTTACTACTAGGAACAAGGACGCTACTATTATTTTGATGCTTGCCTATTTGTTGTTGGGTGGGGCCGAGTTACGTCTTGTCTGAGGACGGATGCTGATCTATGCCTGGGATGAGCGCCAAATGCGGGCCGCGAAGAAGAAGCGCTTGGCGGACAAGCAAAAGTGGGGCACCTACAGGACAGCCGGACCCGGGTCAATGGATGGATTGGGTCGAAGAACAGGGGCTTGGCGTGTGAACTCTCGTATGCTTTAAACTTGGATGAAACTAACATGGCACCGTTTTTGGAGACACGGCCACTTGGGATGTTGGACACTGCTGGTTTCGCGTGGGCCTGGAAATGTCTGGTGAAAACGAATAAGACTTCGGACTGGTGGAACTTGTTGGATTCGCTGCACGTGAGAAGCACGTGGTCGGGTTGTCGTTAGTCCTTGATCCACGCAATTCGATCAAATGGCTTCCACTGTGACAGTGGCGAAACAACCAAAAAGATGTCCTAGGTGGTGGTCCCATCCTTGCCACAAGAGCGCTCTTTTAAACAGATGCATAGACTCCTGGCAAGCTATGGAACCGTGCTTGTCCATTGCACGGATATTTGTAATCAGGCAGATTCACGAGCTCAAGCTATTCGGGTTCCTCTCCCCTCCGGGACTTGCGAGCTTCTTCGAGTTTTCAACTTGCTGAAATCATTCCAGAATCATCCTAAAGGTCAGTGGGCTGATGTGGGCTGTACAGATCGTGCAGCGGGCATCATCGGATTCCCCACTCCAGGGCCCCTTGCTCTGTTGGGTGTGCAGTGCTCCCAGCGTTGCGTCCTCCGGAGGATCAACAAGGAGGAAGGGACACCAGCCCTGTCGGAGCTGCCGAGCTATCATCCTCTCATGGATAATCTTCCCAAGTGATGGGGAGTGGCGCAGATTCAGCATGCTGAGTTCTATGGAGCTATGTGGATGCTGCAAGAGTGTTGAATCTATGTACTGTAGAGAGTAGAGATCTGTAGAGAGGTTATTGGCATTTATGGGCCTGGAAGGGATTGGGATTCTTCAATACTGTGTTTTTACTAGACACTTGTTGCTTCTTCCACATATTTCTTAGCCAACAGCTGAACGAGCATGCTTCGTTCTACCCCACCTGCCGCACCAACTCCTGGCCCACCAACTCGTGCAACTCGTCCAAGAAAAGGTGCCCGGATTGGGACAGATGATTGATTGGGTTTACCCTCCCTCTAACAATACTGGAAGTAGATGGCATGGCCCCTGAGGGCGCTGGATGGAGGCTCAGTCTTGAGACTTTGACATGTGGTCAGACCCAGCCATGGGCATCCGGAACGGTTCTCTGAGGTAGACGGTAGACCCGAATGTCCTTCTTGTCCGCTTCCCCATCTGAAGCTTCCACTTTCTTAACTTTGTCCGGTGAGTTGACCAAGTTGCCGTTCCTTTCACTCTGTTTTCACTGCAGTCCTGAAACAAGGGCCAGAAGAATCTCTTCTGACTGCAGGAAACAGCACAAACATTTACGGTAGACCCTTGTGGAGCACACGCATGTGCCTCAAAAGGACCCCTACTGCCAGTGTATCTGTCTATCTACCCATCTGTGTGTATAGATAGCTTCAGGATGTACTGAGATCTGCAGGCTGTTTCCCTGAAAGTTGCGCCACGCACCTCACACCTTGCCCGCTGGGTCTCTTTGGGCTCCAGCACCAGAGCCGGGTGCGCGTAGCAGCGCGGTCCGCAGCGCGGTCCGCAGCGCGGTCCCTGGGAGGTGGGGGGACGGAAGGTGAAAGTGAAGGTCTGTGGACTCTTGATCTAAGACCTCCCAACGGAGCGCGACGGGTAGAAGAGGTTTTTCAAGCCAGATTGGGGGGGTTCTGTTCATCCAGAGTTTAGAAACAATTTGTTTGCAGGTCACTGAAGAGATTTATGTAGCTTTTTCTAAATGGATGCCTTGGTGCGACTTCTGAACTCATCGGGCAAGACCAAAGGCGAAACGCAAACCATTGCGGGTCTTGATGCCAAGAGTGGATTCTGTTTGAATCTGTTTGATTAAAGTATAGCCAAGATAGATGCCCTCGACTCCCACACTGTCAACCTACACCTGGACCTTTCCTTTAAATCTTTGGATCAACTCGTGGAAGCGGCCAATGGCTGACTACCTGACTACTCTTCCCAAATGAAACCCCAGAATTTATCAAGTATGATATGGGATGAAGAAGAAAGTCAGACTTCTCCTATTGGTCCAATTCTTCCTTCAGCTTGAACCATCAAAAGTGCTTCCTCGGTGTGGAAAGCGTGCTTACCAGACTACCATGTGAGTTTTGCTCGTCGTAGCCAATCCCCCCGAAAGGCCCAGGCTGCCACCCCCATCCGCCGCTGCCATTTCGTTCGATCGCACAAGGCGGGATGATGAAGAAACACATCCGATACCGGGCACTGGAGAAGGTCGGGAAGCTTTTGTGCGGTGGAAAACTCGCGCAGTGTGTGGGTGTGGGGTGGCGAGAAAGGTTTCGGTCGGAGAGGTGTCACAGGTGTTTTCTCAAGTGTATAGAAGAATCGAACAGAATGTGTACCCGCGTTCCGTTGCCTAATTCAGTTTGAGCCAACGGTTGGCAGAGTTTGCTTGGCGTAGTCGGGTCCCAGCTGCTGGATCACATTGACCTGTTGAACTTCACAACAACACCAACATATACAGACGACCCAGCAGCCCTTTTTAGATCAGGCATGAACAAGGCCATTTTTGAGGGGTCTCACGAAATCTGCACCAGAACCAGTGCGCCACTCACATCTTGCGGGGTGGGCCCGGAGCCGAAGGTCTTGGGCCCCAGAGGTCGAGACCACAAGACGTCTATGCTACTCATCCCACCCCGAGCACGTCAAGCAGAAAGTCCACCAAAGGAGAAAAGTAGACGAACAGTACCCAAGAGATCCAAGATCCGCCAGGTAAAGGTGAGGCCAAGAAGCCTGGTGCAGATCTGCTTGCAGAGAGTGGCTGAGAACTTCCTCCGTCCCTCGATGGTGTGGGCGTTCCGGGCGTTTTGCAAGGTTTTTGTTGGCTTGCTGAAGGGGAGGACATTGGCAGACAACAAGAGCCTAAAGTTGCCTACAGTTTGAATGAATAGGCTGGCTAATGCTGGCTATCTATCAGGTCTCGAACCTTTAACTGGGCTCTAAGATTTCTGAAGTGAATGTCCTTTGTTTCTTGGACTAATGGGCCCTGGATGATGGCCATCGTCACTGAGTTGCAAAGAAACAAAGGACTTGCATCGGGGAGATTGGACTTTTACAGAGGCTAGGAAAGGGCATTTTGGGCCGTTCATGAGGTCAAATCACAGACTCCAGCCTGTATCATTATCATTCCTGCTCGCTGCATTTGAGAATTTGAGAGGGAAATACCTCTTCGGAATGCAGCCGCTTGACTACTTGACGCTCTTTCCGTTCGGGGGAGGGTCGAATGACATATGAAGGAAGGTCAGAAAGGGACCGCCAAGCTATTGAATTCATTGGAACTTTGAGAAGCAAGGGTCAAGGGACCCCCTAAGCACCCCAAGTTTCACACATTGTTTGCATTTTTCATGGGTCTCTCGACTTCGCATCGGCCCAGACTATGACAACCTCTACTTAAAGCTGGGACGGAAGCAGCTGGAGGCACCCTGCCGATCCCGGCGGGATGTGATCGTTATACTCTGCGGATGCTCCTTTCACCATGCAGCAAGCACTGAAGTTCATGTCCAGCGAAGTGCCACAGCACCAACAGCCCAAAGCAAGCGAATTGCAGGCAAAAATTGCCCTTTCCTTGCCTTGTCTTGAGCGGAGGGATGAGGGATGATGAGGGGATGGCTTCACTGTGATGGTGGCAGCGACAAAGGATGCCGTTCCGGCGTTGATCGTCAGGATGTTTACGCCATGCTGGACTTAGATATGCCCTTGCCAGAGGCCGCTCTCAGGCGAGGCAAACAGCTATTGAGGGCTGGGACGGAAAACTCTTGTTTGTTTTTAACACAATTTCTTTCGATTCTTATTGTACTTGTTCTGGACGAATACGTGAAGTGCTCCTTTGCGATTGCTTCCCAACACACCCTTATTCCCATCCAGTTGTCGTTCCCATGGTGACAAGCTGGTATGAACAAAAGCGATCAACCAAGATGGAACCAAACGATGAGAGGCTTTGACGGCGTCTCGGGCGGTTTTCTGAGGCATACAGTCATTACATGGTCAAGACCGTTTTTATGGCAGACTCACCAGACCTCTCCGCATGTTTTTTCAGGATCAGCGACGAGAACTACTGGAAAAGGCGAACGCAGGCAGGGTTGACTGGACGAACTTCCCATCACCTGCCAACACCTAGCTGGTGGCTGCTTCTTGCGAGGCAAAGCATCCAAATGCACAGGTTGAAAAGTCGGGAGACTCAGTCAGCAAGAGGCACCATCAGGATTCTAGATCGTATTTCAGGGCTCATCGCCATCCACAACCCAACTTTCGAGACTCACCGTTGCAGGAGTCGTTGAAATGTCACGTGTTCGCGGGATTTACCCAGATTCTCAGCAAATCGTTGGGCGTTTGGCTGCGGAAGCATCACAAAAGAGTCCAGTCTGGCAGGGGGAGGTTCGCCTCAGGGCTATGGCGACTATGATGTGTTTGGATGTGTTTAACATGTGATTGATTGAATCCCTTCTCCACCTCACGTTGGTTCGAAGTAGAAGTAGCTGAGGCATGGGATGTCGTGGAAGCAGACCTACTTGGAGCTGGAGACTTAGCATCTTCGCTTCACCTCTTCTGCTTCACTCCCATCTTAAAGCCATCATTTTCAGTGTCTCTTCCCATCGGAAAGGCCTACGGAGTGTTTCTGGGTGCCAGGTCACCTCTATGGCCTCCAACCTAGAAGCGATGGCCTCCAACCTACAAGTGATTTCCTCAAAAAGCCCTCCTGGCGGCCGGCATGACATTACCAGTACCGGGGAAGAGGCATTTTCCTTGGAGTTGCCACACTGTGCAGGCTGGAGTTGCAGCAGGCGCTCGAAGCGGTCCCGATCACCGTAGAGTGAGCCTCCCCCCGCCGGGCTGTGCCTGGCAGAGCATGCACCGGAAGCATCGGAAGCATCGTGCCCCTCAAAAGGATGAAGGATCAATGCCACGAACAAGGCGAAGTTGGAGACAGGAGATGTAAGGTTCAATGAGACTGAGCGTGACCCCTACAGCTTGCTGAGGTACGGGAACCCCGAGTTGGAAGCGCTGAAACAGCAAGTCATGGCTTCAAGGTGAAGAGCGCGGTCTAGTTGAGTCTGTTTTGGCGGTGAACTCCAGTGAGTCAAATAGTTTTCAGATGACTCAGAGGCCTTCTGACCACCTCTTACGTCCGTTTTTGTTAATTCGTTGGTCAGTTGCCAAGATGCTGTTTTGGTACAGCACAGCGACTGATTGCTGTTCTGTAGCCGCAGGTTGTACATTTACCAGCTGCACATCACGCAGTTCCCATCGCACTTGGCCTGGATCCCAAATTGTTTGGAAGTGTGAGAAGCGATAAAGATCCATAGAACTCTGGAGATTACAGCAACACATTTTGCATATGTTGGATTCATTTCAGCTTCATTTTCACAGGGGCAGGGGGATGGGAGATGATAGGAGGAAACTTCAAGGATTACAAGGGCGTTTGCATTCAAACTCTTTTTTTTGGCGATGAGATCAGAAGTCTTTGAAAGAAGGGATGCAAGTGTATGCAAGTGCTTACTTAAGCTCGAAAACTTCCTCAGGAGGCAGTGGATCCAAAGCAAATCACCAGCTCTTCATCCAACCCAAACCTTCGCGACATGGGCTCACGGATGGGCCACACACCCACCATTCTCTCAGGACCTGAGCTTCATTTTTGATGCTTTGCCGGCCTTGCGGGAAGCTCAGTCCGCGGCATCGACGGACCTGACGGACCTGTCTGGTTTGGGGTGCAGTCGATGTTGTGTCGATGTGCAAAAGGTCCACCCAAAGATCCAAAACGTCTATCACCTCCTCCTCCTCCTCCACCACCGATTTCTTCGGGGGTATTCCAAAAATCAGGTGTACCTTCTCCATCACCTATGGCAACAAACGGCTTGGCATGGACTATGAGCGAGCCATGTTTGGCATGAAGATCTCAGATGCCTCGGCCTAAGAGAGGCTGAATGCCTACAGCCGAGCAACCAGGGTTTAGGCCACCTCAACCAACTACTCTATAGATGATATATGATATGGATTGATATAGTATGATACAGTTAAACGATGTTAAACGCAATGGAATATCAGGTGCTTGTGCAGCGTAGTGCGGCTATGCATTTGTCCTTGATTGCTCGTTCAACATGGGGCCTGGGGGTTATTTCTGCTCCCCCCAAACCCTCCCATGGGCATCTCCGACGTCCGACTCCACTCAGCCCTCCGGGTCGCCAGAAGGTCGGGTCGACGGTCTCTCAGGCCCAATACTTGGCCCGTGACATCCGCGTGTCGCAGACCCTGGTGTCGCTGTCCCTGCCGCGCGGGAGCTTGGTGAAGGGGGGGAACGCGGTGATGAATCGCTGACTCCCGCGGTGGACCCGGAGACTCAGCTGATGGTGGCTGATGTAGTGGCAAAGGGGCAGGGTCCTTTCAACAAACGAGTCGTTTCGGAAATTAGGTGGTGCATCGGATAGCCCTTTTGTGGGAATCTTTTGCCATGCAAACACACTCCGTGAAGAGCCGGGTCCTTTGCTGAAGCTGGGGATTCGTCTCCGTTTCTTCTGTGATCCCCAAGAATCGATGCGTTTGGCTTGGTGTTTTGGCTGATCAGCACAGTGAACAACGACCTTCCACGGTGAAGAACTGGTCGAGTTCCGACGTTGGTGTCAATGCTCAGGTGCAACATGATCGATGACGAGCTGGTCAAGGCCGACGACCTGTTTTTGGGTGAGGAGGGTGTGGGTTTCTCAAATGAGGAACATGTTCTTTCTTTCCGTTAGAGAAGCGATGCCAGTTTGATGAGTTTGTCAAGTTGTTGTTGAACAAGGAAATGGTTGCGTTGCTGGATGTTGGGATTTGTGTTTGGTATGCGAACAGGACTCTGCACATGCAGTGGGGATGACATTGGACGGGTGAATTCCCCTGAGAGCACTGAGATCCCACCAACGCATCAATCATGGTTTCAGCGGCTTCTGGGAGATGATTTTCCTTCATGACTTGAGTTTGGTGCATCAGAAATAAAGTGCATCGCTAGTAGTAACACGTGCCTTGCTAGTAGTAACAAGAAGCTAGTAGAAACAAGTGCATCGCTAGTAGTAACAAGTGCCTTACTACTAGTAACAAGGACGCTATAGTCTTCCGTTCGGACCCCGGGGTCATTCTTCAGGTCCAGCGCCCGCAGCTGAGGTGCTCATGGGAGGCTTGTCCTATGGCCACATGTTGACGCATCTAGACCTCAGTGTGCTTCTTAGTGTATGATCCATGCGATCATCGGACACTTTTAGAATGTTGGGTATGTCGCGGCGTCTTCTGATCAGATGTAGCACCAGTTACATGTACATGACATAGCTTGTATAGATGTATGTTTCACTGCAGCCGTTTGTGGTTTACTTTTGTGTTCATTTCGATACCAGAGCTCAGTCAAGCGTGTTTGAGCTAAAAGTGGGCCTAAGCTTCTACTCCAACCTTTGGGACAGTGACTTGGGGTCACAGAGTTTAAGAGCCTAAATTCTCCGTTCATGGTAGCGGAGCCGCGGTTCTAAGACCCGGCTACCGTCTGCGAATCGAAGGTTGCCGAGCCGCATCGGCTCTGGCACCGGAGATCCACAAAACAAGCATCACTTGCAGGAAAAGCCGGATTGCTTCAATCCCTGGCTAGCAAGTCAACATGGCGCAACAGCCAGGAGCACAGGCACCACAAGCCACAGACATGGCACAACAATTTGCACAGATGATGCAAGCCCTAGCACAGGGGCAGAGCCAATTGCAACGAGCAATGGCAGAAGCATATACACAACAAACGGCAATCACAAGGAACATAGCCACTAGCGTAGAAGTAAGAGACAGATCCGAGTTGAAAGGCATTCCAAAGCCTGACAGGTTCAGTGGACACACAGGTACCTGGGATTCATGGTACTTCAAGTTCAAGACTTGGATTGAGACAAGTCACAAGAATGCAGGAAAGTGCATTCAGCTCCTCGAAGAGCATCAAGACACAGAGATCAATGAGACATCTCTGGAAGATGATTATCCTGAAGGAGCCGAGCTTGTTTCAGCTCAGGCCCGACAGGCTCTGATCTCACTATGTGAGGGAGAAGCCCTCGAGATTGTCAAGAATACCTCCAGAGGTCAGCACTTTGGCCTAGAGGCATTGAGACGATTGATCACCAAGTATGATCCACAGAACCCACAAGCAAACTCAGCTTTGCTGAAGAAGGTCCTGCACCCACAACAGTGTGCATTGGACAAACTCAGAGAGAGCATAGAAGCCTGGGAAAACATCAGGCGAAAGTATGAAGAGCGGAAGAAGAAAGCTCTTGATGATGACATCGCAAGAAGTTGTCTTCAGCAGATGTGTCCAGCCAAACTTCAAGATCACCTTGACCTCCAGAGTTCGAGACTCACTGACTATGCCATCATGAAGTCAGAGATTTTGGCCTACCTCGAGAACATCGAGAGCCGAAAAGAAGCAAAGACTGGATCAGCACCAATGGATGTTGACGCACTAGCCGCAGCTGCCAGCCAGATGCAAGCTTCACTTGCAAGTCTGGCTAAAGCCAAAGGAAAAGGCAAAGGTGGCTCAAAAGGCGGCAAAGGAAAAGGAAAGAGTCAAGATGGAGGCAAGGGAAACGACAAAGGTAAACAGAAGGGAAAAGGTTCTTCATGGTCCAATCCCTCGTCATGGAACAACTCATGGAACAAGAACGATTGGTATAAGAACGATTGGAACAAGAGTAGTTGGTACAACCAAAACTCCAAGGGTAAAGGCAAAGGTGGCAAAGGCAAAGACTCTAAAGGTAAAGGCAAGAGTAAGAGTAAGAAGGTAGCTTCAGTTGAGGAATCTGAAACCTCTATGGCTCAAGAGCATCAACCCGAGCCTGAGTATTCCGCTGACATCGCCACCCTCTTTGCCATCGAGATGGAGAAAGCAGCACCTGCAGCACTTTCTCGTGGAGCAGCCAAGGCAAAAGCTGAGACTGAAGTCAAGGCTATGCCAAAGAAGCCAGGAGCTGGAAAAGGTCGTCCTGGAATTGCAGCTGCTGGGATTGCAGTCATGAACCAAGCAATCCAAGAGACCATGCAGTCCAATCGCGAACTGTATGAGAAGAAGTCTGAGACAATCCAGAAGGCCATCGATGAGGCCGAAGCCAAAGGCAAAGCAGCCAATGACGCCATCTTGGAGCAACAGGCCGAGATGAAGAGGCTGAAAGAACAGTATGAAGAAAAGGAGAGAGAAGCCAAGATCTTGCTGAAGAGGCCAACTCCTCGCCGAGCCGCTTCGGTTCCGGCGGAGTCGCCAAGGCTCTCAGCTGATTTGGCATCAGGCATGGACCCAAGATTGGCTAAGAAGAAAGAGAAGAGTCGTCAGCGCGCCGAGCAACATCGCGTTGACAAGGCCCAGGATCGTTTCGAATCCTGGCGCGACTATGAGGCCAATTACCCTGAGGAGCTCGATTACTATGAGATCGCTCGTGCCAAGGGTACTGGTCGACTTCACGCTTGGGATGATGAAGATGATGAAGGAAAATTTGATGAAGCCCCTCAGCCTCGAGGTCGAGAAAAGGCCCAGAGGCATCGTGGCTACAAGAAGCCAGGAAAGGCAAAGAAGCCTGAAAAGCCAAAAGAGAAGGAACCCAAGATCGAGGATCTCTCCACTCAAGAGTTGGCAGAGATGAAGCGGGAAAGCCAGACATGGACGGCTACTAGCCATCCAGCCCGCAGTGTCATCGACAAGGCGCTCACCGCAGCTGGGTTCAACCCAGAGGACTATGTTGTGATGAAGCGCGTCGAAAGCCAAGGCGAAGGAGCAACAAGCGCACCATCCTTCGCAGCTCCAGTCATGGAAAACATCAATCCCCTTGATGTGACTGAGATCGAGGGACTCGAAGAGGAAGAAGAGTTTGAAGGTGAAGTTGAAGAGGATGAGAATGGCACTGAGCCAGCTGACGAGGAGTCAGATGGACAAGAAGAAGAAAAAGAGAAAGATACCGTGCCATGGCTCGATCACATGTTCCAAGAGCGCATCCTCAGCTATGATGAATGGGTAGCCAAATGCACCCACAAGAACAGAGATGGCAGCAAGAACATGGTCTGCCGTGCGTGCAACAAGGCCCTGAGGTGTGACAATGACACCGGCCTATGGAACCACCATATGGCTTTGAATTGTTGCCCGCCAAAAGTCCTCAACCAGTGGGCAAAGGAATGGACGATCAAGCAGAAAGAGATGGGAAAGCGCATCAAGACTGCCAAGGGACAGCAAGGCAGCCCAACTTCAAAAGATGCGCCAAAGCATGTGAAAGATGCCGACATGGATCTGAAGCCCGAAGATGTGGCAAAGCATTTGAAGATGGAAGATCCAAAGCTTGAGACTGTCAAGAAAGGAGGTCCTTTCTACATGACTGCCCATATGCAGAAGATGATGGAAGAGCAGGAGGAGGAAGATGAGGTTGGCCCAAAGACGCCAAAGCAAAGGCGCGTCGCCAAGACACCTCCACCTCCTGAGAAGAAAGGCAAGACCAAGGAGGAGCGCATGGCCTGGTTCAAGAGCTCGACTGAAGAGCACCAGGAGCGATTCCGTGGACCAGGATCCAAGCCAGAGGAATCCAGCGAAGCGCCAAGGCAGACGCTTCGGCTGAAGTCCCGGTCACGATCCCCGGGCAAAAGCCGAGCCGCTTCGGCTCCGGCTGCCTCCGAGAAGGGCCAAGGAAAGGGCAAGCAGAGGAAAGTGCAGTTGACTCGAGCCGTCAACGTGGCCACTCAGGATGCTGCCCGTGAGGCCAAGAAGGGAAAGGGAAAACGATATCCCACTCCCTCAAGCGAGCCTGATGAAGGCGATGACGATCCACTCGCTCTCAAGAGTTTGGAGCTGGCATCCATGGAGACGCCAATGGCTCATCAGGTGACCTTGGATTCAGGAGCCGCGACCTCCTGCATCCCTGTTGAACTGGCCACCGCATTGGGCTACAAGCCTATCCAGCCTGAAGGCACCTGCAAAGTCTACAAGACTGCCTCAGGCGAAGTGGTCAAGGACCTTGGCAAGATCGATGCCATGGTGACCATCGGCATCGGCCAGAACTCCCTCAATGGACGTTGCTGTTTCCGGGTGATGGCGGTTGCAAAACCGCTGCTCTCCGCTGGGGCCCTTATGAGCAAGGGCTGGTGCATTCAGACGCACGGATCTGGTGGACAGATCTCCCGAGACGGAACTAAGATTCCGATCTCGTTCAGCAACGGCGTCTGTTCTGTGCCGCTTGCATTCCACCCTTTCGTCCGGCACCGCAATGGGTAAGCCCGGTGGAGCAGGCCGAAGAGGCCGAGCAAGGCGACGAAGTGCCGCCTGAGCTCAAAATCCATGCTCCCACTCGCCCGACGAGAAAAGAGTTCGAAGAGCATGCTGTTTCACACTTCCCTTTTAGGTCTTGGTGTGAAGCCTGTGTAAGGGGAAAAGCTAAGGCAAACCCTCACAGGAAGATAGACCACACCGATGAGACAACCCCAGTAGTGACTGTAGACTACTGTTTCATGAATTCACGAACTGATGATGTAGTTTTGGACGAGAAGACTCATGCACCAATTCTTGTTGTCAGAGATCGATGGACGAAGCATCTTTTTGCTCATGTGTTGCCCTACAAAGGTGTGACAAAAGGTCCATACGGATCCAAAGTACTTTTGAACGACATCAAGAAATTAGGATACTCCAAACTGATCATTCGACATGATCCTGAACCTGCCCTCACCTCTGTTGTTGAGGCAGTAAAGAATGGGTTTGAAGGAACCCTGATCATCGAGAAGAGCCCGAAAGGAGTCAAAGAATCCAAGGGAGAGATTGAACGAGCAGTTCAAACCTTGGAAGGACAAGCCAGGACTCTTCGAGCCGCGATCGAGTCAAACTATGGTGAGAAACTTCCTGACGATTCACCTGTTTTGACTTGGTTAGTTGAACACGCATCCACAGTCTACAATCTGTTTTTCCGATCAACCGAACTTCAAGACGGAAAGACTCCGTATTCACGACTTCGTGGACGTGAATGGAAAGTAGCAATTCCACCATTTGGTGAGGCCGTCGAATACCTCAAGAGAGGCCACAAGTTCGAGGCCCAATGGACCAGAGGAATTTTTCTAGGAGTGAAAGACACCACCACAGAGAAGATAGTAGGAAATTCCACAGGCGTTTTCACAGTGCAATCCATTCGAAGAAAGCCAGAAGAAGATCGATATGATTCAGAGTTGCTGAAATCGATCACTGGAATTCCCTGGGATCCTCAAGCAATTCGCGAAGAACCAGCGATTGCAGCCCCAAGGGAACCAATCATTGCCAGCCCAAGTGGTGAAGCTTTGGTGCAACCACCGGCAATGGATGACAAGAAAAGAAAGCTGAGAAGGCTTTACATCACCAAGAAAGACCTGGAAAAGTTTGGGTATACTGCAGGTTGCCCAGCTTGTGATGCCACACAGATTGGCAAGAGATCTACAGGCATCCATCACACCAACAGGTGTCGAGACAGACTTGAAGAGAGCATCAGAGGAGAAGAAGAAGAGAACCCAAGAGTAGCAAGACATGAAAGCCGAGTTGGAGAGGCAATCACTGGCATGCCACAACCAGTCAGTGGCAAGAGACCTCAAATCCTTCATGGATATGAAAGCAAAAGACCATCGGGAGTTCCCGATTCGTGTCGAGTGTTCGCGCGACTTGACGTCGAAGCTTACTGTTTTCAAACCACCATGCCAGGAGGACCTGATTGGTCCACCGTCTGGCACCGAGTCACAAGAAACCATGCAAACAATGCAATCATTGAGAGTGGAGTCATGACAACAGACCTTCCACCAGAGATACTCAATGGAGCATTACCACACAAGATGGACATTGTGACAGAACTTTGGTACGAACCAGAAGCAGCACCACCAACACCAGGCACAGCATCAGCTTCAGCATCAGGTATTCGCAGACCACGCGAACCTGAACCACATGGAGAAAAGAGAGAACACGAAGAACAACATGAACCAGCAGGATCACCCACAGCAAAAGCCAGAGTAGATAGAGACAAGAAGAGAAAGGCAGAAGGCGAACATGAAGATGAAGCCGAGAGAACAAGAGACATCCAGAGCATTGAGATGGCTTTAGAAAGCCTAATCCTAGAAGACAGAGAGAGAGTGCTATCTAGCATCGACCCAGAGAAACCAGTGTGTGAAGAGAAGATCCCACTGCCAGAAGAAATGGCAGGAGAGGCAAAAGACTGGTGGTACTATGATGACATCAGTGGAAAAGAGCTGCTACCTGAGAAGGTAGAGAAAGCCAGAAAAGATGAAATCGACATTGTCGAATCAATGGGGGTCTGGGACAAGATCCCAAGAAGCAAAGTTCCAAAAGGAACCAAAATCATTGGAACTCGATGGGTAGATGTGAACAAGCAGGATGAAACCAATCCTCTCTACAGAAGTCGATTGGTAGCGCAAGAGATCAAAAGAGGCTCAGGTTTTGACGAATTTTTCGCAGCTATGCCGAGCCTTGCAGCTTTGAAGCTACTGCTAACCATTGCAGTCAGTGACAGTCTTCCATTGGAGAAAGGCGAAAAGCGAAAGACAAAGCAATCTTTCCTAGGATTTTTGGATGTGAAGAGAGCTCATTTCTACTCCAAAGCAACAAGAGAACTCTATGTTGAAATTCCATCAGAAGGCAAGAAACCAGAAGATGGAGATGTGGTAGGAAGATTGGTCAGAAGCCTTTACGGCACCAGAGACGCACCCATGAATTGGGAGCTGACCATTGCAGAGTTTATGAAGAAGCTAGGATTTGTTCAAGGCAAGTCCAACCCATGCATCTACTACCATGCATCCAGAGAACTTCGAACAGAAGTGCATGGAGACGATTTCACGACAGTTGGAAGTTTTGATGACATCAAATGGTTTCACACTTCAGCAGCCAAAGAATGGCAAGTTGTGGAACGAGGCATTCTCGGTCCACCAGGTTCACCAAAGGCAAGCCAACAGATCAGAGTGCTGAATCGCATCATCACCTGGTCAAATGAAGGCATTTGGTGGGAACCAGATCCAAGACATGCAGAGTTGATCATTAAGTGGTTAGGCACTGGTCAACCAGGCAAGGTCAAAACACCTTTGGCCAAGCCAAGTCAAGAGGAACTCCAACATGAAGAAGTTCCGCTGAGTGCCGAAGATGCAACGATGTATAGATCTATTGCTATGAGAGCCGCGTACTTGGCACAGGATCGACCTGATCTGCAAACTGCAACGCGCTCATTGGCACAAGGTCTACAGAACCCAACATCGAGGCACTGGAATATGCTGAAACGATTGGCTCGATATGTCAGGTATCGACCAAGAGTTGCACAGTTGTTTCCAAACCAAAGCACCTGCAACCCCTTCAACATGTGGTCAGACGCCGACCATGCAGGTTGCATAAGGACACGAAAGAGTGTGTCAGGAGGCGTGCTCATGGCCAACAAATGCTGTCTCACAACATACAGCAAAGGCCAAGGAGTTGTCTCAAGAAAGAAGGCACCGACCGAATGTTGGCCGATGTGCTAACGAAAGCTGTCACCGAGGAGAAAATGACAACAGCCATGAAAGGCATGAACTTCCACTACTTGGAAGGTGAGCATGAACTGACTTTGAAAGCGTGAACGGCTTGAGCTAGAGTAGGTACATCTTGGTCTTGAAGAGGTACTGAAGGGCTACGAGCTAATTCACCGAAGTGCTAATCCTGACTCGCTTAACTTCTGGGAGATGTTAAACTCGGGAGGCGTGATCAGATGTAGCGCCAGTTACATGTACATGACATAGCTTGTATAGATGTATGTTTCACTGCAGCCGTTTGTGGTTTACTTTTGTGTTCATTTCGATACCAGAGCTCAGTCAAGCGTGTTTGAGCTAAAAGTGGGCCTAAGCTTCTACTCCAACCTTTGGGACAGTGACTTGGGGTCACAGAGTTTAAGAGCCTAAATTCTCCGTTCATCTTCCCCTTTGCCAGCATGGCAGCATGTCTCAAAGTGGGGAGACCCGACGTGTTGGTTCAGGGGCGCCCCTCGGATTGGAACCAACCAACGTGCAAAACGTAAAGCTTTGCGGCTGGTGTTTTCTATTTGGACGGAGTGAGGTTGGGAAAGGACATTGAACATGGATCCGGGTCAACCGGCTTGTGTGGCTTGTGCTATCGACGAGGGTGTTTTGAATGTCACACACACAACCACACTTGAGACAATGTGAAAACGTTAAGAAAATAGACACAACATGACAAAACACATGTCATGTCATGAACATTTGACCACAGGACCTGGTAGTAGGGTTGTCGGACATGGAAATGGGGGACGGGGATGACCAGCAGGAGCCGGACCCTGAAGTGTGCGACAACTTTCAACAGGAATCTTTTGACAGTTGAAGGAGCTTCTGCCACTGTTTGATCACCTCGCTCGAATGATCGTCTCTGGCGGATCAGGTCACAACAAGATTGGTGACCGGGGAGCTCGTCGATTAGCATCCCTGCTGGATCCAGACTATTGCTTGCAGGCAGAGATTTTGGCGGATTAACACCACAGCCCTAGATGTTTCAACAAATGTTTCAAGACGGGTCCATTGGTGACGTTGATTCCACGCCCCTTGTACTTGGAGTAGACCTATTACGTGCATCGTCAGATTCAGAATCTGCAGTGATACCGATGAAGTCCACACCTGGCTTAAACCTTAGAGTTCATAATATGAATTCATAGGACATCAGGCACCTTGATATGGGTGGCGCATGTCAGGTCCCCTACAGTACATCACCCTGTGTTGAACGAGGGTTTTTCACGCTCTGCAACACTGAGCCACAGGCCTTTGACCTCAGCGACAATCAGATCCATGCCAATGGTTGCATGCACTTAGGCAAGGACGTTCTCCAAAGCTGAAATATGCTTTTTTGTTGATGGTGTTTGAATGTGTTTGATGTCTTCTGGAACGAAGGAAGGACGTGATGCTTTCGGGAAGTGGCATCATGCGGCAGAGTGGTTCGCACGGAGCATTCAAGAATTCAGTCGAACTGTGGCAACGTGAAATAGAGGTGCTGGCTTCTGGCCAGGCTTCCATGATGATCATGATGCGGCATTGGTGAAAGTACAGCAGTTGACATCAATATCCAACTACCCGCATTTTCTTTTCTCAACTCCTCCTCATTGGGTTTCATGTGGTGAGGCGCCCACCTGGCTGAGAACATCACTTGCCAGGCCTGATGTTTCTGCCGATGCGAGCGTTGAGCAAATCGGCTGATCGACTGGTTCTCGTTTGGAATTTGTGGCTGGGCTGATTTTCTCGGGTTTGCACACCACTTGAGGATGGCTTTACAATTGCAGCCTGCAGCTGCATGCTGCAGCTGCATGCTCAAAACAAGGGTCATCAGCAAGGGGTAAGGTTCCGAAGCCGAAGGGATGTGATTGGCAGCATTAATTAAAGGTGTTTAGTCCAAGGATGCCCAAGGCAGTGAAGAAAAGGATTGCAGGAAACAACACACATATGTATTGTGCAATATGATACAAGATTATATATATAACTATATGTGTTATTGTATATCCAAATAGATAGGAGTCTTAGGATAATAACAGAGGCTCATCCTCGGCAAATGCGACCTTTCAACCGACCTTCACGGCACTGTCAGACCCTGCAGGTTCTGAATTTGAGGCTCAATCGTTGTGAGGACAATGGTGTCTCACACTTGTTCCAGGAGATCCGAGACGCGTCGCTCGAGTCCGGACACGACGCGTGTGGAGTCGCGAGAGGCGGCCGGTCGTGAAGCCGTGAAGCCTGGCTGTGCTTTTGGCTGCTTGAGCGCCTTGAGCGCCTGAGCTTTTAGAGTGACGTTTTTGATGGTTGTTGGGACCCTGACCCCTGCCTCATGATTTGTGGAAGGGAGGACGAAGTTGTCCCTAGAACATCGCCGATCCATGCAGTCCACTCATGTCCACTCATAGTTGGACGGAATGCCACTGCACCAGGATATGTGCGTGAACAAGCACCTGCAGACCCTGAACATTGCATGCAACGTTGGGTGCTTAAGACGAAGAACCGCGAGACCAAGCAATGCAAGGTCCTGCATTGCATGATTTGGGGAACCTCGGGCCCTCGGCCCTTTGGTTTTGAGCGGCGCAGCTGAGTTGATTCAAGCACCGCGGGCGATCCTGCAAGACCAAGCAAGAAACCCGCCTTGGGACCATTTCAAGGAAAGAACATGAAAGAACCCTGATGTGGTTGAACAAGCTGGACATTGCTCAAGTTTTGTTTCATGCACCGCCAGGGCTGACAGACCGCAAATGCGTTCGCGTGCTGTTTGTTTCAGTGCTGATTTGCCGAGGATTTGACCGTGAGATGTTTGCCCTACCTCAACGCCATGTTGCTTGGCTCCGGTGAACCGGGATCTCCGACGTGCTTTTCGGGCCGTGTAAGCCTTGGGGCTTGGGCGGGGCCTTTGCGGTTTGATCTGACCGGACCCTGGACCAATCCAAACGGATTCCAAAGGTAGCCGACGGGCCGAAGGGAGGGGCCGCATCGAGACATTCACGACCCTTTTGTTCAGGTGACACTTTGCTAGCGGCCAGCGATGCAAAGGCATGATAGCACAAGATCAATCTCAACTACTATTTCATCTTCTTGGTGTACAGTGGTGTGTGACACGAAATATATTACTGAGATGCACAGATATCTAGCAATGATCGTACCCGGACAATCCTTGGACTCTCCAACCCCAAAAGAGCCTTTTCCATTAGTTTGTGTCCGAATTCGAAGGGCCACAGGACAGTCCATGCCTTCCGCCCGAGGCTGGCAGAGAACATCACACTCGTGGAGCTTGACATCAGCGCTAACCCGCCCCTTGGGCCGCTTTTGGGAATCGGTGCGGGGAAAGGGCCCTATCCTTTGATTCATGAAGTGACCAGTGGGTGGCTGATGTTTGCAGTGCACGGCCTACGTCATTGAGTGGTTCTTGGGTCTTCCAACACAGGAGATGGTTCTAGAGTAAGTCCAAAGATGATCCGGATCCCATTTGTCAGGCGAACAAGTGGGGATCAAACCACAGGCAGATCAGTGGTCGCTCAGCCGAAAAGAACACCGTCTGCAGAACTACACTGTGAGACGTTGCGACCGCGAGGGCAGTGAGGGGGGACAAGCTAAGCAAAGATTCACCCTGAGAGAATCATAGCAGAAGGAACACATCGTTCACCCTTGGGCAACGCTTGGCCTGATATCATTGCCTCGAGCTTGGAGCATTTGCTGGATGAGGCCGAACCTTGATTTTTTTGAACAATAAACCCAACATGTTCAGGCCACTATGATCGTCGTAGCCAAAGAGGGAACAGGGAAGGGAGACCACAACAGCTGACCGTGGATGACATGATCTGAAACCGGTCTGAGGCTGCACCAGGAAGAGGAGGAAGCTCAAGCTCAAGCTCAAACCCAAGGAGGCCAAAGCATGCTAGAGTTGTGCCAGTGGGACTTCGTTTTGTTGGTCTAAATTTCATTAAAATTCTAAATCAGAACAAAGGCGCCCGTGTCCTCCATGTCTTAACGTATTTTCCATCGTCTTGCTTGGAGTACCAGACAACAATGACTTTATGAAAGAGGCTTCTCAGCTCCATTCTCGGAGTCGGACCAGTCATCGTTTGTCTTCGGGAAACTGTTCTGGGCGGTTTCTTTCAAGGCGCCGTTGCCTCCACCACTGAGCCCATTCCACCACCTCCAGAGGACGGGGTGAGCGATGCAGACATCAAAATCTGAAGACTTGCCAAGCTCCCCACCCCTCTGGACAACGACACGAAGTCATCTTGGGAAGTTGAAAGGCGAAGTCAAGTGGCACTTGGGCTACAGTTCTGACAGTCAATGCTCAGGGGACGCACTTGAGAAGAGCGGTTGCAAGTAGAAGTCCCACTTTGGACATCACACCTCACCAGGATCCCCCACCACCCGATGCAGAAGAGGACTTGCTTGCAGGTGCATTCCTAGTCTTGAGCCGAACATGGTGGTTGGAGACGAACAGAACTGTCTCCCTTAAAACGATAGACACTTCCAAAGTTGGCAAGGTGTTGTTTGCAGAGCAATCCATGATATACTCCCACGACCATGCTATATGAAACTATATAATACTATATATATATATTGTTTTTTCATTACTTGTTTCTAATAGCTTCTTGTTACTACTAGTAAGGCACCTGTTCCTAGTAGCGATGCACTTGTTTCTAGTAGCTTTTTATAACTATTCTGTCCATGAAGCCTTCGGCACTTGGAACCAACGTTTTTTTTTTTTTTTTTTTCGCTTTTGACGGCACACCGGTGACTCACGGAGGTCTACAGGTGAGCTCGGGCCAGCTGGCGGTCTTCGCGCGCTGCGTGATGCGGAGCCCAGCTTTGCTTCGCTGCTTGGAGAGGTGATTTTTGGTGCTGATTGGTGGAGTGTGTAGAGTGTGTGGATGAACGGCAAAAGGCTAGATTACCCCATCAGAGGCAGACCAAAGTCAGATACCTGGTGAGTGAGTGCCCTACCTCCCGCAGTTCTGGCTTTCTGTGGAGTCCAGCTAGGCCACGGCGACGTCAAAAGGGCGTGACCGGCGGCAAGGAGTTCAAAACTTTTCATCACACCTCCCGGGGCATTGCACTCCGACTCACACATCACATTGGAAGGTGGACACCGGACACCCACCCTGCCTCGTCCAGGAACATCCTCATGCCAAATTTCATTGTCGTCCCTTTTCATCCCTTTGTCCACCTTCCGAGTCTTCCAATGTGTTTCTTTTCCTCGGAGCCGACCGGTGGATTTGTTGGGCGACCCGGGCGGGTCTCTTCCAAGCGGTAGCGCGACCCGGGCTGCCGTGCGTTCCGCACGTGAGGCGTGGACCTGCGGAGTTGTGGGCTGCCCCCGGAGCTGGCGGAGCGCGTGGGGACGGTGGCGCGGCGGCACTTCGAGCTTTCTTTCGGATTTTTGACGGATGGATGGCTGGATGGATGGATGGCGGGAGGGAGGGAGGGAAAGAAAGAGAGAGAATGACGAGAGAGAGAGAGAGAGAGAATGAAGAGAGATGAGGGTGACTGAGGGTGAAGTTGGATATTTAATGATATTTGGACCGGAGGGGACCAATTCCTGTAATAGTTCATTAGTTCCGGGCATTCCCTACATGTCCCTTACTAAGCAGCAGTCGTTTTTTTTTGGGGGGAGGGGCAATGCCAATGGCGGAGGATGCTGGATGGAATGGTTGTCGGCCTGTGTGAAATGTGTTTGGGGATGCTTGATATGGGGACTAAGTGCGATTTTTGTTTTGGTTGGGAGGGAGAACAAAGGCTGCACTCAGATCCGGCGAGCCCATGAATTTCCACAATCCAATCCTTCCCATCTCCAGCCGCACAAGTACTGTATATAACTGCCCAATCATTCTTCCTGGTCTAGAGTCTACACGCCGACTCATGGACACCTGGAAGACTCTGTGAAGCACCGGGAGGCTGTGAATCTGAGGCTGTGAAGCACCGGGAGCTAGTGGCAAAGGGCATCCCAGTGGAGGCAAGGAGGTGATGTGTGGCTGGACGGTGGTGGGTGGCGAGGCAACAGAGATAGGATGGTTTTCAACAAATGCAGCAAGCAACAGCACACCATGTGCAAGAATCTCTCCGGCCGTTGGATGATGGTGAGGTTCCCATACGTTGCCCCATGAACAGGAACCTGGCGACCTAGCGAGGAACAAAACATCTTGTGGGAGTCTTGCCAGTTTCTTCGATGTTCCTTTCAAAAACGGCGGATGTGGGGCTGCTTGAGGTCCAGCCCAAAGGTCTCAATGACACGGTGCTGCAGGCACTGCAGGCCGTTGACATCTCGTCCCAAGACGAACAGGTCGAAAGGAACAGGTGCTCAGGCGGATTGGGGACATGTCTGAGGCCTATGAGAGGGCCAAGCAGGCCGCGGAGGCTGAAGAGGCCGCAGCAGAGGCCGACGATGGGAAGATGGGGGACGGCGAGGGGGTATCGAAGAACGTGGGGCAAAGGGGCCATGGGTGAAGACCTGGGGCCTAGTGAGTGAAGACCGAAGAACTTGTGCACCCGGGCGGCTGGAAACATCTGGAAGCACCAAAACATGGGCGCCAGCGTGAATGACATCTTCCATCAACTTTAGGGCCCGAGACTCCAGGCCACGTCTACACAGGGGCCATGGGATGACATGAACACGTACCATGTGGTGGTTTTGCGATGGATCGAGGGAAGATTAAATCGCTTAGGTTCCTGTCCCCATGTTGACCCCAGGCCACCCAAGCCCCTGTACATAGCAGGTAGACCAACAACTGCAAGCCAACCGCTGACGCACCAGGAAGAGATGGCTCAAGACGAGGAGGAAGAAGGTGAAGAGAAGGAGACTCGTCCTGCAGAATTCATGTTGGTTTCTATGCATCACCTGCTAGTATTTGTCCCAGGCGGTCTTCAGTTGCACTATGTTGCACTCCTTGCTTGAATTTTGCAACCCTGCAGATGGCCAATGCCAACGATCTATCATTCCTGGATTGTTTTCATGTTTTTCTATGCAAGTCCGGGATCCTTCTCTGATACTTCGCATGCGTCTCCCCTCAAGAACGTACGAGAGTCGCGCGCGAGTCGCGTTGCAAGGTGGAAGAAAAGGAGCCTGAAGAGAAGCCGGAAGAGACGCCGGTGGAAAAGCCAGAGGCGGCTGGATCAAGGGATGGATTGAAGGGTATTCTTTCCTTTAACTTTTTTCTTGTATAATGGCAGGCAAATGGCATACTGACTGTTGGTTGGAAGAGATACAGTGTGAAGACGCTTTTGTCCATATATATATATATAATGTTGTGAAACAAACACAATATATATATATATATACACACACATTTGTATGCATGCACATACATAGCGCAAATAGGAGTATACGAAGGACCTCGCGGTCTGTTCTGTGGATGATTTGAATCATGTGCTTCAAGGGCGAGGAGGAGAAGAAAGAAGGGGAAGGCTCCTGAGAGGCCAAAACTGGACGAGGGCGCTTTCCAAGAACCGAGATGCTCGGGAAAGAACTGACCAGATGTAGCCAGATATTCGTCCCACTTCCGCAAAGCTGACCCACCGAATCCAGATGTCAATGATCACCGGAAACCATCGCTACTGCGTTCCGAAAGTCTCTCTGGAGGTGCAGAGGCAGCGTGCATCTCACCCGTGTCATCGTTTCACCTACTATCTGATGGATCGCCAGACGTTCAGACGTAGTGCACCTGCACCTTTCAGAAAAGGTCCATATGTGGGTTTTCCCGTATTTCGGGGCAGTTAAGAGTGAAGCACTCAAGAAAGGCAGTTCCGCAAACTCCCCACATCTTATCGTGTTGCTGGTATTTGCAACAAATTTTGTGGAGTCAGTAGGGCAGCCAAGAAATATCATCGTGATATGGATGTCCTTTGGGGAGATGTAGTGTGCTACAGGTCCTCCTTGAGGTCCTCTTGAGAAGTCTTGGAACACATGTCGTGATGTTTCTTTCAGTCTGAGCGGTGCTCCATTTCCAGCTCCCAGTAATTTGTGCCGCTTTCACCCCCCCTTAAATCCAGCATGGCTTGTTGGAACAGATCCTTGTGGGAAATGAACGTGATCCAAGCTAGGCCAGGGTGCAAGTCAAATGTGCTCGGTCACTACTGGCAAACCGCGATCCATTGGTACTGCCCGTGAGCTGCTGGTGCAAGTAGCCGCAGAGCTAAAGAACTTAGCGTTGTGCCGATACAGTCGAACTAGACTGTTGATTATTTTCACAGCTCTCCATACTATCGATATGTATAAAGTATATATATATATACTGTATTTTTTTTTTAAGATTAAGTTTTTACCACTGAACATGGAGGGTTTTATCAATGTAACAGTCTACATCATCAATGAAACCATCCATAGTCTGTTAGCGAAGCTCTCCCCTTAAGGTTCTATGTCAACGACATTGTGGATTCATTGGGGGACCTCTGTGCCAAGCAGGGTGGGTCGGAGGTGTTGCCAAGCAAAGAGAGACACGTCAGCAACTCGAAAACACAAAGGTCAACAACTTCCGTATTAAGACCGTGGAAAGTATTGAACCCCGTGAAAAATTGGAGCAGGCGAGGGCAGGGTTTCCTCCTTGTGGCGCTACAAAGCCATTGAGTTCGTGAAGCCAGGAAGAGCAGCTGCCGCGGGATTTCGCAGCTCACTATGTTGGCCCAAAGGAGACCAGAAGCATCCAAAAGCACTGAGAAGGATCGTAAAAGCAAGTCATCATCACAAGCAAACCCATCCACGAGGCTCTTAAGGAATCCATTTGGTGGTGTGTTTTCTCCATTTTGCTTTGTGAGTAGAGGCAGTGGCTCAGTTTTTCATCATCTGAGAGGTCCTGGCCCATGCTGCGGTGCTATGATAGCGCCCCACTGAACATCCGTGCACCCCCCCGCACAACCCCACCCACACAGCAGGACCAGAGATCAGTGCGTGGACTTGCGTGGACCTTCCAGAGCTCATCACCAAGCTAGAAAAGGTGCGGGTTTGTTGTTTTCTCTTTTTTAGACCCCCCCACCTCCAACCCCAAATTCAGCCAAGAAAGCTGCAAGAACCAAGAGCTGCCTTTGCTCATGGCGGTGGTGCCTTTCTGTAGCTCCTTCCCTTTGGAGGGGGGAGCCAAGTCTGTGGCGCCCAGCAACTTGGTGCAGACCCGGGAGGTGAAGGGGCCGGTGGTCGCCGTCAAGCACGGTGTTTTCTCACATTGAAGGACGGACAATAGGTGTAGTTCAAACGAATTTGACCCCTCATGGCTCATAGTGTTCAAGTCAACTTGAAGAAAGGGGGACTGATGGGGACTGACTCGACCAGCTTGCCCCACTGGTGCTGTGAAAGTGCTGAGGCTGCCTCATTTGCTGTGAAGAGCGTGGCTTGGCCAGATTTGGCCACGTGGTGATTTATGATCCAATTTCTTTGCCCTTCATACTAGGCACCAACTATATAGACAACTGGACTGGAGCAGATGAGATCCGATTATATAGTATGGTCATTGTTCATCGCTGCTATTCCAAACAGTGATGGGAGGCATGATCTTAATTTCTGCATCTTTGGTTCTTAGTTTGACTGGTTCGGAGGGAGCTGTCTGTCTGGAGCCGGGGGTCTCCATCTTGAACAAACCGTGAGGGTAGCGCCGCACAGAGAACTCCCGGTCTTCTGCGGCTCTGGAGTTCTTCGGAATTCCTCACGCTTTGTTTCGAATACCCAGGGCCTAGATATGCTGCCCTTGGCTCCTGTGGCCACGCAGAGGTTTGCTGGGTTTGTACCGTCAGGCGACGGGTCCGTTTCCGGGGCTACTCGGGGCTGAGGAGATGATCGAGATGACTTGAGGTTTTGGAGAGTGAAGCAACATGGTGTATTCACTGGAACTGATGGATGAGTAACTACCGACATTCCAGAGGAACAACTTTTGGCCCCAAACTCTCCTGCACTTTTCAATAGCTATTCTTCGTGACAGAAGGTGCCCAGAAGTCTGCTCGGCTCCCAACGCCTATTTGTGGAACGGTCTGGTGGTAGTTGGGGGAGCAACATGATCCTCACCCGTGAAGATGTTCCGGAAAAGACACACACACACACACACACCGCTGAGAAAAGGCATGCATATATATTATTGTAAATGTATAAGTTTCAGCTCAACATTGTTGTAACATGTAATGTAACATGGGGAGTTGAGCCACGGTAGGTGTCCCAACGGACCACTGACCACTGAGACCAACAAGTTTTTCAACTCCTTCGGTCGGGCTTCTCATTTTGACAATTGGGTTTGGATCGGATCAAGTCCAAAACACGTTTCGATCACGGGAGACATTGGATTTCAACCGATTTGGACATATTTGGATGAAACAGCTTTTGATTTGGATCGATTCCGCCCTCTGTCTTTTTCCGGGCGCTGGACGGTTGGGTCAGGTTGCGTGCGATCGTGAAGGACTTCCGGTGCCCCGCCTCTTGGTGCACCGAGATGGCCTCCAACCTAATAGCAAACAGAACCAATAGCGATGGCCTCCAACCTGGGAGCAATGAACTGAAGAGAAAAAGACCTTAATGGGAAGATCTGTATGTGACCTGGCCGTGTCTGGTCGATTCTCATGGTCCTCAGGTGGGTCTTTGTTTGGTTTACCATGGGTTTTACCCCTATTTTGCTTTGAGCCGTGGCAGTGTGGTGCTTGGAGTAGCCTTTGTACGTATACAGTATGCCAGTGTATCAAATAGCAGTTGGTAGCAGTCCTCAATTGTGTCCACCACCAGGTGCGGGACAACACTGAAAGCCGCATGCAACAAGACCCTTTTTCACTTATATAATATATATATATTTATATATTTGACATGATTCCTTGGTTATGGGAGCTTGGGAATCTACGCAATGGAAGGCAATGTCGATGACACAGGTCGCAGCATGTCGCAGAGACTCTGCCGAACCTGCTCTGGTTTGAGACTCGCTGCGAGTGGATGTGGCCAAAAATCATTTGTTGCCAAGGATGATCTCCTGCTTGACATTCCTTGATACCCCAACCTCATGACCAGCTGGCTGTCAGGTTGCCAGGAAAATTGACCCAACATTGTCAACATTGTCCCAGGTTCTTCCCAAAGTCACATGGAGGGTGAACAGGCTTTTGTCGGACAATGAATTGAAGCATCATTGCAGAATGTTGCCTTGTCGTTTGTTATGTTACTGTTGAGGGGGGACCTCCACTCTTGCACTAAGGTCTGCAAAGAAGAGCTCAGTGAGGTCTATGTAGGCAATGATCACGCAAAAGCCCTCAAAGAGCTCAACAAAGGTCAGCCCTTGAAGGGTTCAAAGGATGAGAAGCACCTTGGAGATCGATGGGACATGTGACCTGGGGGGACCCGGGGGTGACCGTGCTCATGCCATACACGTCGGACTGGAGGTCCTAGGTAAAGAAGCAGGACTTCCCACAGTGTATGCAGGTGGGCGTGCAATGCCAAGAAATCATGCTTGCCAGTCTTGTTTTTTTTTTTCACTTGATCAGGGGGCTTTGCTGGGCCAGCTGCCACATGTGACCCTGAGGCAATAGAACCCCCAAGTTGGCAAATGCTCAGTTTAAGAGTGACAGATGTATATAGAGAAGGGTAGCCAACGCACAAGGAGAACAACAAGAGTACTGTATATGGGTGTCTGCAAAATAAGAAGACCTCCCCAAGAGACCTGCTGGAAGAAGGGAAATAGACCAAAACCCATTGGGCCAGGGGTTCTCCCTATCAAAATACACACCCATATTGTTGTGCAGTTGTGTATTGGCTCTTAGATCAGTTTAGATGTCCTGTGACCTTGGCTTCCCGTTGCTTGATTGGCTAAGGCTTGGACTCTGCTTCGCTTCCTCCTCCGTGAAAGAGGACGTGGAACGACTGTCACTTGGCCTCACGCCCCTGGACATCAGAGTTCAATTTAAGGTCTTTGCGTGATTGGAACAGTCATGGACAGCTAAAATATGAGATGGAATGAGATCGGACACTTGTTTGAAGTTCCATCTTGATCAATCCTGGTCCTCTTTGCTTGGTGCTGCTTTGGTCCTGCCAGAGAAACCTTGCCATTTGTCACCTGAAGAGATTTGCCCGGACGTACTGGGCTCAGGCGTGCACTAAAATCTAGCTTTCAGTGCCCCTAACGACTTCCTTATGTTAGTTCACACACACACACTGCCGCTGTGGATTTGGTGACCCTCACCTCAGTGGCGAGCACTGAAGGCTTAGGCTTAGATCATCAGACCACGGTGCACGCGTGTGGGTTCACACGTGCGGTGGAAGCTTAGCCTCACTTACCCAGGTGTGTATGTTGATATGGAGATCCCCAACCTATGAGTTTTGATCTATTTTCCTTCTTCGAACGGTGTTCGAGTTGTGGGAGGTCTCCAACCCACACGCACCTGGCAGGTTTGATTATCGTTGCTGGCATGAGCATTGCCTGCAGAGAGCCGAGTGCTTCCCGACCTTGGAGGCACCGAATACGACCTGGTCGGCCTTCCTCGGGCCAAGCGGCTGGGTGGGATCAGGGCCTTCATCCAAGTGCAAACGAAT